TAACGACCCCTTTTAAAGTGAAATTGCGGTTTACGCCCTGTATATATTGAGTAAATATAGTTATAATATAATATATATATTTCTACGAGTGTAAAATGTAAAATAAAGTTACTGTTGGATGGTTTAAATATACTCTATTAATACTATTTAATTTTTTTCAGCAGCAAGTATAGAATTATATTATACTCAACTGCCAGAGATATGACTTTCCTTCATGGTGAAACGATTTGTTGAGATACATGATTAGATGAGATGAGAGTGTTCAATTAATAAATGATCTACAGCCGAAGAGATCTATGGATCACTATCAAATGATTTGGCTATTTATTTTATCTAAAATATATCTTTCAAAGTAAAATAAAAAAATCAATCATTTTTCCAACTGTTTCATAAAATATTTCCATTTAATTTTCATCAAAAATTCCCAAGAACAAAAATTAAATAATTGATGACATTTGAAAGTATGAACATATTGACATCATTGTAACACTTTGCTATATTTAAATTGCACCCTCGACAAAAGTCTTTTATTATAGGGTGCAAATGATGGTTTCAAACCCTATGGTCACGCATGGTATGCCATGACCTTAGTCAACACCGAATATGTTATTCCTGTCAAGTGTTGAAAAGTATTGTGTCACTGGAAAGTGAAATATTTCATCACGCTAACGTCAAGTCACAAATGATAAAGAGAAATTTTTATATATTAATCTGATGAAAATGAATAAGATTCATTGATCAAATATTCTCACGATCATTTCACAGTAATAACCAATACTATGGGCTTCAATAGGCGATTATTTAATGGCGAGAGAATAAAGACAAGATATAGGTCAATTTGTTGTATGCTTCGACGATTCTTTAGAACGCAGATTGTTGTTTATGAACTGCTATATATTCTACAATATTAGTTTTAAACTAGAATTGCAGTGAAAAGTCATAAAAGTAGCAATAACAGCAGCAGCTGAATAAAATCATCTATTATTGATAGTCGACTTTCAAATTTGAAATAAGTTCAAGTGGTGAATTCCAACTGCAATGTTTATTTACATAATTTTAAATTAATTTTTCAATGGTAAAAGAATGTTTTCAAAAGATTTATTTTAATAATTCCTAACAAAGGTTATCTTTTTGTTTCAACTATTCACCATTTGATTACTTCCATTGTTCATAAGAAACTTGGATGTAAAAAATGTTTTACGACAAAATAGATTGACGAGAATTTGAAAAATCTACAAGAATATATTAAATAAAGTCATTACTTATACTTTCTTTTATTATTCATAATTATAATACTTGTAAATTTTTATTAGTTAAAGAAATTAAAATACGTCATTTGATTCATTTTTCTTATTGTATACAATGAAAAGTGAAAAAATAAAAGAAAGTATATTATTATAATTCATTTAAAATACAATGTTAAAAAAAGAAGATAATTTATTCATAATCACACAAAGAAATATTTTCACTTTTAATTCTAACTTTTGATGGTTTATGATTTTAAGTGTCGACAAAAAGTGTAGTAATAGAAAAAGTTTCAAGCTGAAATAAAAGACAATTTTAACGGTATTCATGTATTGAGCCAGCTTTTTCTTAGCGGTTCACTAAGTTTGAAGTTTTTTTTTTTTTTATTACAACACCCGTCTCTTATAATCATGAGATACAGTCGGAAGAAACTGTTCGTGTTAGTATAATCGACGCTAAACAATGTCAATTGGACCGAGTTATGCAACTGCAATACAGTAATGACCTACTCTGAGTTTCATCGAACCTCCGCAACAGTTAATAAGATAGTTCTTGGACAAATGCCTTTGAGTACACCGTTAACCTGTATTTATTCCAGTCAAATTTTATATGGTTTTTACAATCAATTATTGATGATTATAATGTAAAAAATTTATGACACAAATTATACGAGAGATCTCATAAAGTACTTGAGACTATTTGATGATTCTCTGTGCTAGATATTAAAAGAATCTACTTTTTTTATCTCCACCCATCAGTGTATTGCAATTTTTCCACATGTAAGTATAAATCTTTTAAATTAAGATGAAACTTTCTGCTTTGCCGATAGCTGTTAGCTCTCACATGATTTTCTGTTGATACACAACTGAACTCTCGACTGTTTATTACGCAATTCTTCAGGAAATTTGATAAAAAATGAGATTACATCTATATCGACAATGGAAAACCAGTCTGATTATCAAATTGTTGTTAATGGTCTTTAATTAAACAGTAAATAAAACAAGGTGTAAGATAAATGGATGATTTGGATCTAATTACTTCATTTTCTTCTTTATCATCTTCAACATAGCGAAACTGTGATGCAAATTAAATAAATTAGTTACGAATTGACCTATTATCGGTATTGCCTAGGGTTATAATGAATTGAAAAATACTAGTAGTAATTATATTGTAATTGAGAAAGTTCTTTTTGCAATAATTGATGTCTCAATGGATTAATTTACAACTCATTATCTACATCATTTATTCGATTACGTGAATCGAAAAAAAAATTTTTCAGTAATCATACCCTTCAAATGATGAAATAAAAAATTAAGATTATACACGTTCTGATATCAACAACTAATTTTTGTTGTCATACAACTTAGTAGCAATCATTAATATATTCTAGTTCACTTTTATTGTAACAATAAAATGAGCACAGAACAAGAAGTAGAGTGGAATATTGATCTGACAGAAAAAGTGTCACGGTCTTTGATACAAGTAAAAGTTAACTACTCATTTAGATAATGCCAAAAAATATTGACATTATAAAAGATTTCTTTATAAAATAAATTTAAGATGTTATTTAAATTTAAATTTTAGAAAATAAAAAGTATTTAAGAATTTTTTTTTTTTTTGGTCAGAGAAGAAGAGAAGATAATTATAGAGAAACTAGCTACTAAGACTAGTTCTTAATAGAGTAATTAAAATTCATTCGATTGAGGAAGTATGTTTTATATGATATGAAGTTTACCTGATGAATTGCTTGGTAAATCTTACTTATAAAAATTCACTATTTAATGTCTTAATATTTAGAGAATATTTACAGTGAAATTTATGTTGAAGAGTAATAATTTGATCATGAAATTTAGTTGATAGATCATTGGTAGGATAATAGGTTGTTTTCTTCTATTCTTCTATTACAATAATTAAATTAAATTACAAGTGGTATGATTATATTAAATCAAATAAATAATTTGAATAGCCAATTTGATTAAATGTTTCACTTATGATAGCACTTATAAGGTTTTCTGCCACGTATTTTCCATGTCTACATGATAATTTCTTTAACAACTGTTCAGATACGATATTTTATTAATCTTATTACTCAAAAACAAATCTGTCTGTATATCGTATGATGATTTCATACGTCTTACTTGATAAGAGAGAAAGAAAAAAGGAAAAAAGATTGATACTCATTGAAATGTTAAATAAAAATTGTGTATTTAACCATGTTAAATTTTTGTAAAGTAAATTTAAAGCGTTAAATTGAAACATTTAACTGTAGTAAAAAGACTTTACACTTCAAGGGTCATGAATTATCACCAAGATGAAGCACATTTTCTAATTTTTTTGATCATGTGCTTTGGACTATAAATGATATCACACGAAATGCCAAGTAGATTAATTGGAGTATTGATTATAAATATGATATTTTATTATAGAAAACAAAAATCAATCTAAAAGATTGAGTATTTGAGCTAGAAAAATTTCTTTAATATAAATAAGAAGGAATAATAAAATGTCAAGAGATACATCAGTGTAGATATTCAGACTAGTCTAGAGGGTTGTAAAAAAACACGAGACGTAGTTGTTGAACTTGACGTCTCGACGACACATATATATATATATATACATACATACATATATGTACACATGTTTTTCTAACATTAATCAGTGGTATTTTTTTTTTTTATAAAATCGATATACAGGATTAAGCAAAACACAAAGTAGTTCAATTTATTTTGTGCTGTTTTTATAAATTCACTGTTTTTGTGATTTTTAAAGCAAACCTAACAGTATTGATTTCTTCCCAATTTAGTAGTTGGTTCATCAGATTATTTTTATCAACTTAATAGGATAAGTTGAGTTTGAATTTTTTTTTTTTAAACGTAATTTAAATTAAATTGAAATATAATGCTAAAAAAAAAAATTAAGTAACTTCTTGCTGTATTTTTTTGTATTTTGCACTCAATTTTACGATTACTTGGTATTATAGCAATAATTTAAAGTTTACCGGCCAAGTAAATTTTAGCTGAGTCAGCATAGTATGAAGTATCTACGGGCGTGAACGATTAAACAAATTTTTTTTTAAAAGATGAAAAAATTTGACAATTAATTTTTCACATTATTATGTTAAGAGGTATGAGTAATTTTAAAGTGTTATTAAAATATCTCTCTAATATATTTTAATTTTGGACTTTAAATTCCCAGCTTTGTCTTATCCACTAAATCAGTCTGTTGGTATTTCATTTATTTGTTTTACTGCGGATAAAAATACTCAACTTTTTAGTATGCGAAAAATAAACTTGACTGAGAACAGAATTTAATGCGTAAATTTAAATAAATATTACTTAGTTAAATAAAATATTCAATATTAACTTTTGTATATTATTTTTATTATTATTATAATTATTACTCAATTGAAACAGAGACGAATAAAATTATATAATATATTTATATTTTGAATCAATATTTAATATTCAATAAAAATTAATATTTTCTAATAACTAGATGATTTATAAAACTAACGATAATAATTTATCTAATGTTTTATTAATAAACATAAAATAATGGCATTAAAAAATCGTCTATTACAAATATTATTAAAAATATTTCTTTTTAATTATTTTCAATAGGAAATAATTTTAAATAAAACATTAATAATCTTTTCTTTTGTACATTTGCAAATAGTAATAATAATATAAATCCACATTAAAATTATAGTTTACAAATTGGTTTAATTAGTAATAACTATCTGCAAGCTGGTCAAAATAAAAGTATCTTAGAAATGAATCATTCCAATCGTCAAGATTAGAGTTTATCAAATCAGTTATAGCATAGGTCGTTATAAACTACAAACGTTTATTACATTTCGTGTTGCTTTCAAGATGAAGTATTGTAAGTAAAATTCATTACTTAATTATTTATTAATTAAATTAAAAATAAAAAAAAGTGTATATTATTCCATTTTTCTCTTATTCTTCTTTAGTTATATTATTATTAATCTCCCTATGGGAGATTACTTTGTCTTCATCAATGAATGAGACACTGGAGAATTCCAATTCAATCCAAACTGTTTCTAATTGTATGAATGACTTTTCAATGAACTTTTATCAAGTAAGAAATATTTTTATTGTCTGTACTACAGAAATATTAATTATTAATCTAAATGGAAATATCTAGAACCTGATTAACAACCAAGGAAGTAATTTAATTTCTTCACCATTAAGTGCTGGAATACTGGTATCAATGACAGCATATGGTGCACAGAAAAATACTCAGAAACAAATGTTTACTGCTTTAAAAATTCCTGATGATGGTACTTTTGATAGACGTGAATTTCAATCTCTCGTTCACATTCTCAATGTAAAATGGCCAGTCATGACAGTTTAATGAATGAATTAATACTTTTATAGTTACTATATTTCTTATATATTTCAGAGTGTGAAGAAGGTTGAATTGCGAATAGCTAGTAATATTTTTATAGCAAATGAATTTACTGTGAAACCTAATTACATTGATTTACTGCAAGATACATTTAATAGTAAACTGCAAAGCCTGGATTTTACTAAAACTGATGAAGCCAGTAAAACTATTAATGATTGGACTGCAGAAAAAACGAATAATCGTATTAATGACATCATCCAACCAGGTAAACCAATCTTTTCTATGTTAAAGAAAAGAAATATTTTATTATCAACTTCATTTAATTGATAAATTTTTTTGATCGATTTTAGATGATTTACGAGATGCAAAATTAATATTATTGAATGCTATTTATTTCAAGGGTAAATGGGAAAATAAATTTGATCCTTCTAGAACAAAAGCTAAACCTTTTTATGTTAAAAAAAACACTGTAAAAGATAAATTAATGATGAACAGAGTTGCCAGGTTTCGTTATATAGAAGATTCAATACTTGGTGCTAAAATCATAGAACTTCCTTATGAAAGAGATCCAGAGTCTCCACAGAACTATGTCAGTATGATAGTAATTGTTCCAAATGATGTTGATGGATTAGAAAATCTTGAAAAGAAATTCAAAATGTCACATATTGAACTTCTTGATAAAGAAAATTTTGCTTCTAAAATTGATTTGAGTTTACCTAAGTTTACAGTTGAAAGTTTAATAGATTTTAAATCAACATTCGAAAAGGTATTAACTCTATAGACAAGTAATTGGATAAACAAGTAATCAATTGATTGAATAAACAATATTATTTAAACTTACAGATGGGAATGACTGATATGTTTAATAGTAATGCAAATTTTCAAGGGATCGTTGACAATGAACCTTTGAAAGTATCTAAAATTGTTCAAAAAGCATTTATTCAAGTTGATGAAGAAGGTACTGAAGCTGCAGCAGCTACTGGTATGTTTTCTCTTATTCTTATTTTGTTAACTATTCAAGAATTCAAGTAATTAATCATCTTTTCAGCTGTTATGATTGCTCTGAAATCGTACGTAGAACCCAAAAAAGTTACTGTGGATCGTCCATTCTTGTTTATGATTTCATTAAAGTACAATAGTAAAACAATTGTACTATTTCAAGGTCGAGTCGTGGATCCATAGTGAAAAAAATAATGATATTTCTATATGTAATATTGAAAATTTAAATTTTTTGTATAAATAGTATTGTAATAAAGCATTATTGATTATTAAATGATTTTAGACTATGTAGATTAGTGTAAATTTTGAAGATGCATATGCATATAGATACTATAAGATTGGTTGTTAAAATTTCTCCTACAAGTTGTAAAATAAATTAATACATAATCTCATTAAATTTAATGATGATATCATAACTCAATATTTACACAAATTGCACTTTTTCAATTAATGAGCATAATTAACAAATAATTGTATATAAACAGGTGGATTTGAAGATTAAAATTTGATTATTTAAAGGATGCCTAACTGTTCACTCATCAGATGTAAATTACTTCTCATCTGTAATTATAATTATATAAGCAGAGTAATTGAGACTTAACGAAATACCACTTATCATAGCAAAAATGAATAGTAAGTACCACCAGAATATTCAAATAATTACATCATTTATTTTTAGTTTTTGAACTAAATAAGTTCACAGCACAACTGGATGATTGAAAAGTAATATTGATAATTAATTCTTTTTTTTTCAGAATTATTGGTAGTTTTATTTGGAGTAGTTGTGGCAGTTCACAGCTTCTCAATTCCAGTTTCTAGAGATGCACTTTCAGAACATTCATTTAATGTAGAAAGTCCGTCATTAGAAGATTCACCTTCAAAAGATTCACCTGTTGAATATTCTCATTCTGAAGTCCTACCTTTAGAACATGATGATTTAGAAGATCAACTTGCGGGAAGTCTACCTTCAGAGAGCTCACAAGCTGAAGAATCACATCAAGATCAATCAGAAGAGAGCTCACAAGCTGAGGAATCACATCAAGATCAATCAGAAGAGAGTTCACAAGCTGAGGAATCACATTCAGATGATCAACCCTCAGAAAGTTCACACGTTGAAGAATCAGAATCAGAGGATAAACCTTCAGAGAGTTCACCTGCCGATGATTCTCACTCAGAGAGTCACCCAGCAGACAACCCACTAGATACAGAGTTACCTGAAGAAGATTTACATGAAGAACATTTATCGGCTCACGATGAAGACAAAAAAGACGAAGAAGAAGAAGGAGACGATGATCTCCCTGAAGACTATTATGACGATCAGGAATTAAAAGCAGTTTCCAGCGGATTATATCATTTTTCAAGTGAATTTTACAAGGTAGAATTTTTTTTAGTCATTATTATTAAATTGTTGAGTTATATAAGACAGGAAGCTAGGTACTATCAATTACAATATGTGAAATATAATAGTTTCAATGATTTTTTTCTTTATATTTAGAAAACCGCAGCAACCAGAACTCGTAATCTTATTTGCTCACCTTTGAGCGTGGGTGTTCTATTAGCTATGACAGCTCAAGGAGCTCGAGGAGTCACTGAAAAAGAAATGCGCAAAGGTTTGCATCTTCCAGAAGACAGCTCGGTCAGCAAGATTGGATATAAATCACTTATCAGATCAATCTATGTATGAATATACTTGTTCTATTTTTTTCTAATCGATCAAATATGATTTCCCATGTATTATAATTCATTTTGTTTTTTATCTAACTTTTAGGCTGACAAAAAAGTTGAAGTACATCTTGCTAATGCAGTTTTCATGAATGATGAAATAGAAATGACCCCTGAATTCGAAAGTGTAACCACAGAATACTTCAGATCTCCAGTTGAAAAAGTACCATTTTACTTCCCTGATGAGGCCAGTGATGTAATCAATTATTGGGTTGAAGAAAGAACCCACGGAAAGGTCAAGAATGTTGTGAAACCAGGTATAAATTTTTATTCACCTGGAAATTATTGAAATCTATTTTCAACTTTTATCTTTATGTTAATTTAATAATTTTTAATTTATAACAGAGGATGCTTTTGATTCTGAAATGATCTTGCTCAATGCTGTCTACTTCAAGGGTAGTTGGCAATCAAAATTCAACCATGAAAATACTCAAGAAAAGGTCTTTAACATTGATAACAGACAATACAAAAAAGTACCAACAATGTACCAGAAAAATACTTTCAACTATGGAGTTTTACCTCACTTAAAATCTGTATACGTTGAGCTCCCTTATGAGGTATCCTATCAGATGATCATTAATAATTTTAAATAACATCATAGCCTCTAAATTATAAATATTTTATCCTTTATTTATTAGCATTTGGATGAAGATGATGAAATGAGTATGTTCATTGTTCTTCCAAACGAAGTGACTGGTTTGAAGAAACTTATCAATGCTTCAGAAAAAATTAACTTCGAAGAGTTGCACAATAACCCTAAATTGACTACCGTAAAATTATACGTCCCTAGATTCAAGGTCCGAAGCACTTTGAACCTTCAACCTGTATTAGAAAAAATGGGAATGCGTGATATGTTCAGATACAGAGCTAACTTCACTGGAATCACAATAAGCAGACATTTATCAGTGAGTAAAGTCGTCCAGAAAGCTTACTTAGAAGTTAACGAGGAAGGAAGTGAAGCTGCTGCGGCAACAGGTATTTATTATTGACTAAATTCTATCAAAAACTTTTCCAATCAACAGAAATGAGATAAAAATTTTTTTTTGTAGTTGTTGAACTCAGTAAATTGTCAGCATCACTAGACCACGAACAAGAGCCTGTAGAAATGCATGTAGATCATCCATTTATGTATGTTATCTACCATAAGGCAACAAACACTGTTTTATTCCAAGGACACGTTAAATCACCAGCTTTAAAATAAGTACATAATATTCATAAAATCATTCCATTGTTTGTAATTATTTTATTTCAACCAATAAATTCTTTTATCTTCATTTAAATTCATTTGTTCAATCCAATCCTTGTATTGCTATTTTATTTAATCTATTCCATAAGATAACTCAAAAAAGTTAACAAGCCTTGTTTTTAATATTCTTATTCTAATTATAAATACAATGATCGAATATCTAAAGATTAGATGTTCTTAAAAACAAAAAAATTGATAAGGATTGATATGTAATATCAAGAAATACGAATTAGACTATTGATAAACAAAAAATACTTTATATATTTTTTTTTACAATATTCTTTATAATTATTGTAAATAACCGTGTGATATATTTATAGATATTTTAACCTTGAATTATGAAGTCATCAAGAAAAAAAAAACACGGTTGATGGCAGGATAAATACAAGTGGTTTTTCCTCTTATGTATAAGATATTTTGATAATTTGAGTGTGAATATTAAGTTGTTTTACAATGATTAAATACCAACACAATGTACAAAACATTTAAATAAGTGATATTGAATTTTATATAAAAAAAAAAGTATATTAATCATGTACGAATTTTGATAACCCTAACCAGACTGCGACCTTAAAGATTATGTTGTGACAGATGTCACATTCAACACATAATAACTGCTAAGAGGGTCTTTAGAAGAGTGGGGATTACTTATCCAAGTCAAGGATTAAATAGCCAGAACAAATTTTCCTGTGTGCATTATCGTGTTGTACGATAGCGAACGTTCATCGTGTGTAATTAGTTCTTCATTGTAAAAGAAAAAATCATTCATTCAATAAAAATGACCTGCAGTAAGTAATAAATACATTTGAGTTTAATCTTCATTTTTTTTTTTTATAAAATATTTTACGTAATTCGACCCACGATTATCATTCATAAATTAAAACGAGTATTTCTGGTTTAATTTTTCGTAATTATATGGTAATAAAATTTAACCTATTTTTCAGAATTAATTTCCCTAATGTTAGGGATTCTTCTAATGAATGCTAATTTAAATATGATAACGGCAAAATCTGTTCCACAAGATGAGGAAGCTTTACGTGCAGTTTCTACAGGCTTGAGCCAATTTTCATCAGACTTTTATAATGTGAGTCACGAAAATATTATTCATTAAGTAAAAAAATAATAATATGAATGAACCAATATGATAATGATCTTACATGAGTCATAATTATCTGATAAGAATTAACAACTAATTGAATGTTATTATTTTTATAAATAACAAATGATTGAGGAAAAATAATATTTTTGTGATTGTTTTAATTTATTTAGACGTCATCGAAAGCTGAGGAAGGTAATCTTATCTGTTCACCTTTAAGTGCAGGTGTCGTATTAGCTATGACAGCTTTTGGAGCAAAAGGAAATACTGAGAAGCAAATGCGTGAAACCCTTCGTATGCCTGATGGTGTCACAAGTAAAAAAGGATACCAATCATTGATTGATACTCTTAATGTAAATAATTTAATCATTTCTTAAACCTCAAATTCATTAACTGAAAATTTATTTATGATATTTTTTTTATCAACAGGATGTTAAAAAAGTCCAACTTAAATTGGCCCAGAAAATTTATACTGATAACGACTTCGAAGTCAAACCAGAATTTAAAGAATTAACTGAAACTTACTTCCGATCAACTTCAGAAAGTGTTGACTTTGGAAAACCACAAGAAGCAAGTCAAACTATCAATGCATGGTGTGAAGAAAAAACTAATAACCGTATCAAAGATGTTGTATCACCTGGTATGTTATTGAATAATTGACAAGAGTTTATTTTATCTAGGAAGTTTGAACTTTTCTAATGTTTGTTTTAATGAAATATTTACAGATGATTTAGAAGGAGCATTAATAGTTTTGATAAATGCTGTCTACTTCAAAGGTAACTGGGTGTCAAAATTTCCAGCATATAGTACATCACCAAAACCATTCCACGTTGATGAAAAAACTACAAAGGATGTAGATACTATGTATCAAGAGAGATCGTTCAATTATGGAACCTTGCCTGAACTTGATGCTATCTATGTCGAACTCCCCTATGAAGTAAGAAATAAAAAAATATTTTTAAAAATTTATTATGATCAAATTTCTGATAATAATTGATGTTTTTTAATAAAATAGCATGAAAATGAAGATGATTCTATCAGTATGTTTATCATACTTCCAAATCAAGTAGGAGGTTTGCAAAAATCTACAAATAATTTGGATAAAGTTAACTTCCAAGAACTTCATAATAAACGTCAAAATACTCTCTTACGATTATTCATGCCCAAATTCAAAATTGAAACTACACTCAATCTCCAATCAGTATTAGAGACAATGGGAATGAGTGATATGTTCACAGATAATGCTGACTTCCGTGGTATTGCAGATGCACCTCCATTAAAAATTAGCAAAGTTATTCAAAAAGCTTTCATTGAAGTTAATGAAGAAGGAAGTGAAGCTGCTGCTGTTACAGGTAAATATTTTTCTATTTCTCTTTGAAGATAGTGAAAGAAAACATTTCTATCAATTTCAGTGCTAAAATATTTTAACAATTGTAATATTTAAATTTCTTCTTTGGATCCATGGTACCAATATCCTATCAGATTTCTTCTTCCTAGAAACATTTAAAATAGTATAAATGTTAAAATAATTTTATCACTGAAATTGAAAAGAAGCTTTATTTTTGATGATCCAACATTCAGAAATCTCATAAAAGTCGAAAGCTTAATTAGCAATAAATGCCTTCATTTCAGCGGTGATTGGCATGGAAAGAACCGGTCTGTTCTTACGTCCTGAACCAATAGTCCTCAAGATTGATAGACCATTTAATTATGCTATAGTTCATACATCAACAAACACTGTCCTATTTCAGGGCCATATTTATGTGCCAAAAAATTAACTCTAATCAATTTTAAAATCATCAATAATCATGAATTTCATAATTATGTAAAATGAGTTGGTGAATGTCAAAAAAACATTTAAGGATTCTCTTTTTCCAGCTGTGATTGGAGTTCCAACTTCTATAATAATATATGATCCACCACCAATTACCGTGGAAATTAATCGACCTTTTATGTATGCCATTCATCACGCTAGCACTAATACTGTGCTATTTCAAGGCCATATTAATGTGCCCAAAATCTAACTTAACTTTATTTCAAAATTATCAATAGTCATGAACTTCACGATTATTTAAAATGAGTTAATGAATATCAAAGAAACATTTAAGGATTCTCTTTTTCCAGCTGTCGTTGCAGTTCCTTTCTCAGCTCCAATATATAATCCACCACCAATAACTGTGGAAATTAATCGACCTTTTATATATGCCATTCATCACACCAGCACTAATTCTGTGCTATTTCAGGGCCATATTAATGTGCCAAAAATCTAAATCAATTTAATTCCAAATTGATGAATCGTTATAAATTTGACGATTATTTAAAATGAGTTTGTGAATTAAGGATAAGCATTTAAGGATTCTCTTTTTCCAGCTGTGGTTGCAGTTGCAATGTCAGCATTTGTATATGATCCACCACCAATTACTGTGGAAATTAATCGACCTTTTATGTACGCCATTCATCATACTAGCTCTAACACTGTACTATTTCAAGGGCATGTACATTTACCATCTATGAACTAATGAAGCAAAACTAATTATATAATTTTGATGAAACAAAACACCAGCCTAAATAGATGATAAATGTATGCAATTCATTATTTGTGAAATTCATGACAAAATTTATGTGATAATTAATTATTTTATAAACTAAGCAGATGTAAATTATTGTTATTAAATTATTTATGAATAAATAACAATTTCTAATCAATTTGCATCATTTTTTATTTAATTTACAATCCTGAATTTTTTAAATATTTATTATTCAATTATTTTACTAAAAAAATGCATCAGCAGATACTTGTAGGTACAATGACAATCAAGACCACATACCTGTCGATAAAGTAGTAAATTTTGTAAAGCTAAAACGAAAACATTGAATGAGCATCAAGAAATAAAAATTGAATGGGAAGAGTACTAAAAACATCCTACGACGTAATAAGATGACGTCATGCGCGTTGAAGTAGCAAAAGGCGTTGTTAGTTGTATTGATATATGAGTGAAACTGCAAAGAGACGCCAGTTTGCCGGCAGATTCTATCAGAATAGCGTCGATTGTAGCTGTCATTGATTAGTCTATATATAACTTTCAACAAAGTTGACAATATTTTATTAAACTAAATATTATTCTACCCTCAAACCATCATTATAATGGCTGCTTTGAAGAATCAGAGTTTACAAGTAGTTGCAAATAGTTTGAGCAAATTTTCAACAGACTTTTACAAGGTATTTCAAAGTATTCATCAATAATTATTTACATTTTTATTACGTAATAATTATTTTTTTATCATCATATAGACTTTGTCAGAAAAGGAAACTGCTAATTTCATATGTTCATCAACGAGTGTATCAATGGTATTATCAATGATATCTTTTGGTGCTGATGGTAACACAAAAAAAGAATTACATCAAGCTTTATATCTTGATAATGACAGTCAAGTCACTCGTAATGGATTTCAAGTTCTCATTGATATTCTAAACGTAAGTGAAAAAATTTTATTATGACTTCAACTGTCAATTTAATTAATGATTGAATTAATGGGATCCAGGCAGTGAAAACAGTCGACCTTCGAATGGCAAATAAAATATTTGCAGCCATAGGATTTGAAATAAAATCTGAATTTCAAGCTATCTTAGAAACCTCATTTCGATCAGCATCAGAGACTCTTAATTTTGATCAAGCTCAAGAAGCTTCCAATACAATCAATCAATGGTGTGAAAATAAAACCAACAATCGTATCAAAGATGTTGTTCAACCAGGTTAGCTATTTATCAATATTATCTGATGTTAGAGATATACATTTTAACTGATATAATTCTTTCATGATACTGATAAAACAAAAGTGAGCAATTGATGATTCAAATTCAGAGAAAAAATTATTGATTCATTAATTTAATATATTACAGATGATCTTCAAGGAGCAATGCTCGTTTTAGTCAATGCTATTTATTTCAAAGGAAATTGGGTTAAAAAATTTGATGCTAATCTTACAAAGCCTATGCCTTTTCATATTAATACAAGAGAGACCAAGGAAGTACCAATGATGAAAAGAAAAGGTCGTTATAATTATGGTGAAGTACCTGGTCTCAATGCTGTTTATATAGAACTGCCCTACGAGGTAACACTCATGATCACAGATCTTCAATCTAATTTGTCAGATAAATTTAATGAATCTTCCATAACAGAATAAAAGTGAAGAGGATTCAATCAGTATGTTCATCATCCTACCAAATGATATTGATGGACTAAAAAATGTTGAAAATGATTTCCATAAGGTCAATTATAAACAGCTTCATGATAACAAATATTCTACAGAAATTGATTTACAAATGCCTAAATTTAAAATTGAAAGTAAATTTGATCTTCAAGATTCTTTGATGAAAGTAAGTATTTAATTATCAACTATTATTTGGTCTAAGATAAATTTTAATATCTATTTTTTATCTTTAGATGGGAATAAATGAAATGTTTGATAATCGTGCTAATTTTTCAAAAATTAGCAATTCACCTTTGAAAGTGAGTAAAGTAATTCAAAAGGCGTTTATTGAAGTTAATGAAGAAGGCAGTGAAGCTGCTGCAGTAACAGGTTTGTATCTTGTTCATTATTTATCAGTATATCTAATTCATTATTATAATTATATATTTTTAAATATTTAATTGAAGCAGCAGTTATGATGTTAAGATGTAGTATGCCACGTCCACCAATGGCTGTGGTTGTGGATAAACCTTTTCATTGCGCTATTGTTTCTACAAATAGTGGAATACCACTGTTTAGTGCACGTATTGCTGATCCGTCTGTGACCTAAATTTCCAATTATCATAATATTCATTCTGTATACATGTCTTACTTTAATATCTGAGTTCATTGATATTAATATTTTTTTTATACAATTTAATAAAAAAAAAACAATCTAAAATAATTACGATTTTTTTATGTTATATTTATTCTCTCAAATAAATATATTTAAATAAAAATATAAAATTTTTCATTTATATTATTTATGTTTTTTTTTCATGCATCATGATAGTCTTTAACTCGTTTCTTTCCTTTTCCTTCACTATTCAAGCAAATTATTTTAAAAATATTTGCACTTTACTTTCTGTTATAGCGGGAATAGTGACAACGTATTGCCTGCCTTTGCCACCAATGTCGGTTACCGTGGACAAACCGTTTCTTTGCGCAATCGTTGCTATGAATACTGGCCTGCAACTTTTTAATGGACGTGTCATTGACCCAACAACAACTTAATGTTTTAATATTTTTTTAAAACTATTTTTATATGATTATATCTTTTTACGATGATACTTAAAAATATAAATAATATTTAAATAAATGAAAATATATATCATTAATCAGATAACCTGTGATACTACCAACTTTGTTTAATTATTACCCGTTGAAGTAACATGAATAATTAGTTGAAACTAATTAAGAACAGTCACCTACTTTTCAACAAATTTCACAGTATTCTTAACATTTCTTCTTAAATTATAATATATGTATTTTAATACATATATTTAAATTGACATTGTGATAAAATTAAATTGAAATAATAGAAAGCTAATATTTAAAATTAAATAATTAATTAAAGTTTATGAATTTTGGGTCTGTAGGATATTTTTTCAACCTACATGGCTTTAATATTGATTATTTATTTTCAATAAACCCATTCCTATATATATTACTCTGATCACATTGATTACTTGCTCAGTTTAATTTTAGTTAGCTTCCATTTCAGCATGAATTTTCGTAAGTTAAAATTATTATTAATCTCCTGTTGTGTCACAAGATTAATTTTTATATTTTTTTGAATAAAGGAATAGTATTGATCAGTGTCCTTCTAACAACTGTGCAGTCAGACTCTATTCTAGAAGGACCTAATGGAGTGTATGAAATTATTAGATTCCCTGAAAATTTTTTTGCTTCTCGTTTATATGAGGTGATTGAAAAAAATTTAATATCATTCTGTGTTTATTATTTAAAATCTAATTAAAAATTTATAATTAATCTATTTGATATAAATTTATTTTTTAGGTTTTATCAAATTCAACAACAGGTAATTTTGTAATTTCACCACTTAGTGTTCATATGGCTTTAGCAGTGTTAGCACTTGGAACACGTGGTAAAACTCTTGATGAATTACGTCCCCTTTTACTCGATGTACCTGATATGAACACAATAAATGACTATGAAGTAATAATGCCTGTTGAGGTGAGAAATTTTTTTTTCCCATTTTTCAACTATAATTTATAAATTTATTTATTTAATAATTTATATTTTCAGGTATCAAGACAAGATAACTTTCACGTAATGAATCAACTTTTCATTGATAACAAATTTAAAATTCTTCCTGAATATCGACGTGCTGTTAAAGTTTATAGATCTGGGATTACATCTTTAGATCTTACCAATTCTAAGAAAGCTAGTCGTGAAATCAATGGACAGTGTGAAAAATATACTAATGGCAGGATAAAAAATTTAGTGTCAGAAAGTAAATTATTAATATATATTTTTATTAGCAAAATCCTGGGTAGTAATTAAAATCTGGTCCTATTCTGGAGTTCTAAAGGATGATCAGGTCCATATGTGACCATATTTCATTGCTACTTAGGATGCTTGATAACAAACTATTTTATTTATCATTTTATTTTATTCACTTGTAGAAGACGTAGCAAATGCTGAGTTAATTATTGCTAATACCGTTTACTTCAAAGGCACTTGGATCAATAAATTTCGACATTCACGAACATACCCTCAAACTTTCTATCTTAATCAATTTGAGAAAAAAAAAGTCCTAGCAATGCATCAACGTAATACATTCAATTGTGGGGAGCTTCCTGAAGTTCGAGCTAAATATATTAAACTTCCATACAAGGTAAGAAAAAAATAATTATTGATAAATCATGAACTTATTAATGTTACATTGTTTTGACATAATTATTTTAATTGGTTAAATTTCCAGTCTTATAATAAAAACCAGACTTTGAATATGTACATTATCGTACCAGATAAATATGATTTGACATATGTCGAGGAGAATTTTGACAAAATAAATTTCTTTGAATTAAATGCCAGCAAACAATTAAGCAAAGTTGATTTGTCTTTACCAAAGTTCAAAATTTCAAATCGTTCCAATTTGCAAAAGACTTTAGAGAAGCTAGACATTAAAAGAATCTTCACCAAAGAAGCTGATTTTACAGGGATTTCGAAATCTTCAAAATTACACGTGGACAAAATTGTTCAAAAAACTGAACTTGAAATTGATGAAGATGGAAGTGAAGCTGGAAGTGCTACAGGTAATTCAATCAACTTTTTATCGAAATTCCTAAGAAATCTATCGTTCATTCTAGTCATGAATGAAACACACTATTGATTGATTAATGAATTTTATTTCAGCTATTATTGATGTGACATCATCTCCACCAAGAAAAGCTCTTCGTAACGTTAGATTTATTGTTGATCGTCCATTCATTGTAGCCATTACAGTTGATGAGTTTATAATATTTGTTGGTCGAGTTGTTGACCCAACAAAATAAAACAAGTATTAACAAATTTAATTTATTTAAAAATTACGTCATGTTCATGTTAAAAGTATAGATGTGTAAGAATTTAATAATAAAGCTTTGAAGTGATATTCAATTGTGCTACTATTTTTTTGTTCTTGACCTGATTAGTTGATTAAATAAAGTATAAATCCGTAAATTCTTTATTTCATGATTGTTGTAATATTCAAATAATAATATTTTCAAACACAGCCTTATCTTTATACTGGTTTCGATTACCTTTTCTATCTGAGTGTATGATTTCAAGGTAATCAGTTCTTAAAACTGTGTAAACATGCAACAGTTACAATTGTATCAAACGATGATTGTTAAATACTTCAAAGAAGTCTACTTTTTCTACATATTAGTAAAAAAAAAAAAAAAAATAATGCCAAGGCCAATAATTACAAAAAAAAAAATGGTTAATTACATTAGATTATTTTAATCAGATGTGTAAAAATATTATCAACACATTAATTGTCATCTCTTCGTTTAGATTTTTCTTTCATTTGTCTCTCTGATTATTCTCGTTATTTCACAATGTATTTTTTCTATTATTATAAACTCGTTACTTAAAACTGCAGTGGGGATAATAGTTAATTGATTAAATAATAAGACTGATGAATTAGAGTCTCCATTCATAATAATTAATTTAATAATCAGTCAATGAAATGAAATAAACTTTAAAAAAAAAGTTTAATACTATTACGTTCTTATGTCAATTACTTCAGTTTAACTCCCTCTCTTTTATTAACATAATCAGATTAAGAAAGACGTCTTTCTTTAGTCAGATAGATTACATATCCCTTCTCTAATAGTTTGATAAATAAATAGAATCGTGGATATTTCTATAAAACCCCGAATTTTTTTAAAAAAATCACTTTATGCATTCTCACGAGTGTAGCATCAGTATCAAAATTTATAATTATATCAGTGAATTGAACTAAAGAAATTATTTAAAATGAATCAATGTAAGTATTGCTTGAAGAATAATATTAAAATATTTAATTAAATAATTATTTTAAAAATTTTCTAAAAATATTTTACATTACAGTGAATTTAAATATTTTTATATTTATTGTTAATTTTGTGATTGAACCAATAATGGTTTCTGCTGATTGGAAGGGAGAGTTATTAAGTATTTTCAGACCAGAAGATACTTTTGCTGAGTTTTCAACTGAATTTTCTAAAGTAATAAAATAATAATTAATTGTTATCAGTGAAATAAATTTTTTTAATTTACCTAATATTGGATTAAAATTTTTTTGTTAGGTTGCACTAAAAGATAATTCAGAGAATTTTGTATGTTCTCCAATAAGTATCATTATGCCACTAGCTATGATTACATATGGAGCGGCTAATGAAACGCAGGAAGAATTAATCTCAAGTCTGCACATTCCATCTTATTATACAAAAAAACGGTCACTACATGAAAGTCGGAAAATCATGAGAAATCTTAATGTAAGTTTTATCCTCGTATGTAGGCTAAATAGTTATATATAATGATTTATTACATTAATAACAGTAATTATTAAAATTATCATTGATTTAACAAAAATTAATTTGCAGAGTTATAATGATATTGAATTATATTTTGCTAATAAAATTTATGTATCGAATAAATATTTGATTAAACCACAATATGAAGAAATAACAGAGAAATATTTTCAATCTAAATGTGAAAGTGTAGATTTTGAAAAATCTCTAGAAGTTGAAGAAAAAATTAATAATTGGTGTGCAATGAAAACTAATAATAAAATCAACGAAATAGTGAAATCAGGTAACTTGTATAAAATTTTAATAAATATAACTGTCATAAAATGATGATTAAATATTGACAATAAATAAATAAACGGTTTTTTTCAGCTGATTTCGACGACATGACTTCTCTAGTTTTAGTGAATGCTATTTACTTCAAAGGATCATGGAAGAAACCATTTCATCCTGATGAAACTATTTTACGACCATTTTTCGTCAATCCAAATATTACTGAAGAAATTCCTATCATGCATCAAAAAAATGTATTCTGCTATGGAACTATTCCCTATCTTGGTGCGAATTTCATCAATCTTCCATACAAAGTAAGAATAATATTTATATTATAAATTATTTTTAGAATTTTAAAGCCATTAATATTTTAACTGAGTTTTTAAAATCGTTGAAGGCATCAACAATATCGAAAGAAATAAACATGCATGTTCTTCTTCCTTCAAATAATTACGACTTGAATAATATTGAAAAGAACTTACACCAATTACATATAATTGATTTTTATCGTTATTGTGAATCGACCCTTGTTGATTTATTATTACCAACTTTTGAAATAGAAAACAAAATCAATCTGCAAAGTTATTTGAAAAAGGTAATCTAATTGCATATAATATTAATAATTAATTAATATAATCTAAGTTTAATTTTTGAATTTTTTCTTTAGCTGGGAATTAGTCGAATGTTTACAGACAAAGCTAATTTTACTAATATTTCGGAGCAGCCAATGAAAGTGACAAAAGTCATCCAGAAGGCATTTATTCAAGTAAATGAGAAAGGTAGTAAAGCTGGAGCAGCAACAGGTAAGAGGATTTTCTGATAAAAATTTTTATGAATGGAAAATATAAAAAATTTTATCTTTTATTTTGAAATCTGAAGAATTCAATGTCTAACCAAAAAATTTTAAAATTCAAGCTCTACAAATGACCAGCCGGAGGTATACAGTATCATCAGACGCCACATCTTTCCACGTCAATAAGCCATTTATTGTTATTATTGCTACCAGAAACCATATTCTCCTAACAGCTAAAATTATCGACCCAGTAAAATGAAATTCTTTTTTTATACTTTTTGATATTTTTTATCTATTTAATGGCTTGCAAAAGTATGTATAGTATTTATTTTTTACTCATTAAATAAATATGTAAAGTTTTATAATAAATAAAATGATATTTTTTTATAAAATATTTATTCAACTATCCTACTAATGACTTTAATAGTGGCGAACAATAAAAATTAGAGAAGAATTTCAGAGAAGAGGCTAAAATGCCTTTGGCAATTTTTGCTTAGTCTTTCATCGTAGGAATGCCACGACTATATCAAAAACTTGTAGCCAAAATAACTGGTTGGCAATGTAGTAAGACACATATTACGTACATCATAGTCAACTATATATAAATTGTATATTCTCATTGAAAATTCTAATAATCTTTCAACCATAAAATACAAAATTCTAATTTTAAAAGTCTCAAATTATTTTTAAATTCATATATAATTTAATTAATTTAATTAAATTTAAGAGATAATTTATAATTAAAACCATGAAATAAATAAAAAACAGTAAATAGAAAAATGAAAATTCATAGGAATAAATTTTATTTTAACCGAAGAAAAAATAATTCTCTGCTTCGTTTCACCTGAGAGACCTTCACCTTGACCTTGAAGAGCATCAACCGTCCTAGCAAAGGTAAACCAGAGAAAAGAGAGATTTTGTGGTTGACATATAATGCAATATTTCCGCACTTGCGTAACTAACTGCTTTTATTTTGCAAATCATATAATTATATTCCTATATAATTGACAATAGATCAATTTCTTTGAATGAATTTGTTTTTAGTACTCACATATACTAACATATAAATTTCAATACTTTTTTTCAAGTATATTAAATGATTAAATAAACTATGAAATTTACATAACAAGTTTTTCATGATCAAGAGTACATGTATTGATGTACTGTTATATTTGTGAAGCATGAATGAAAGAATATAATATTGAGTTTGTTAAATAAAAGAACATGAAGCTAAATGATGTATAAAATGGTAATAATATATCATGGTTTTTCTTTTCGTAAAATTTATGAATTTATAAAATTAATAAATTTTGAAATGAATAAAAAAATCTAGATTGGGTACAACAAACTCTTATGAATAGTATATGGATCTCATTACTGAATTGCCTAGTCTGTCTTACAGTCTTATGTAACAATAAAGAGTATAATAGACTGTAGGCGTGGTAATCCATTACATTGACCAACATTTTCACGAGATAAGAAGGAAGACACTTATGAAGCGAACATAATTAAAATTTTTAATTAAATATCACACATATTTTTATAGAATCAGTAGTGAAATAAATTGATGGTTAGTTAATTAAAACTGTTTATTCAGTGGCGATAGTCGATGGTAATTAATTAATACCTATTTAATGTGGTAATTAAAAATAATGATATCAAGAAGTGAGGAATCTGAATAAAGTAATTTAGAAAATTATCCTAGGATGTGATCCGAGAATCCGTTGCACATTTGCACAAGAAAGAATTATTTTATGCAAACATGTGATATGAAGTAATATTACAGTTATGACGTTCCACCTACACAAATTTGCTCCTTTTAAATAATTTTAATGTATGGATTCCTTGCCATAAATGATATGCGTATAAATTGCATAGTTTTATGATCATTATTGATATATACACTCCATTTTATTGGAATACCCAGGTGCAGCACTTGTATAATGATCACACGGTAATCACAAATTATTTTGAGTTTTGTTTACTCACCAATTTATTTTAGAAAGTAAACAAACAACTCTAGTACCCAAAAAAAATGAAAACAATGATGACACTCACCTGAAACAAAAAAATTTATTTTGTGATTAATCATAAAAACTATTATCATACATAAATAAAATGAATAAAACTTTAATCTTAGATTTTTAAATGTGATATATGATGTAATAATTTATTATATTATAATCTAATGAGTTGACAAGGATTTATATATAATAACCTTCATTCATACATTACTAAAAAATTAGTCACAGGATGTTAATAGTAATCAAATTGGCTGAATAAAATTGTACACCTCATGATCCAATATCAAATATACACCTGACACGTCACTGATAAAGTGATTAAAATGATAATATTTTCATGAATTGTAAAAAGAATCGATAAATGCCTACCTAAATTTTGCTGTTGATCATAACCAGTAAACATTACAATAACCATTTTTCCAATAAAGTTTACACACTTTTTAGTTTTTAATGATCACTGTAATTATTCCTATTAATAATTATTATAAAATCTTAATGATAAAATAAATTAACTATCGACCATACGAATATAAATAAGCTATTTAGTCATTCACTGTAATGTAATAGCAACTTTGAATATTTAATACATTCGTTATGAGTTTAATAAATAAAGTAACACAGATGTACACCGTATGATTGCTCAAAACATAGTGAGCGTATGAAAAGTATGAATCAACCCCTACCGCTATCTAACGGTCTTCTGATATCATCCCCACCTGTCTACCCTATATACAACTATCCATTTATTATACCTGCCTATCTATCTATAAACCCATTATCATTACAAATTAAAAATGTCATATTTTTTTTTTCTCTATTATTGATCACAAGACTTTTAAATATATACTCATCCAAACAAATTCTTCATATTAAATAATATTTTATTGACGTTTCGCTAATTAGTACTTCATCATAAAAGATAATCTTCATAATAGATGTGCTACATAATTTTTTTCGTCTGATAAAAAAAATGAGCTGAGAATGAACAAGGTGATAATGACGATAATAAGTTAGTGTCTTGCAAAAATATACATTATTCATTCTTGGAGTAGATCAGTTTAGTCATTTTTAGACTAAACTCTCATCTCCTTCTTTAAACATCACACTATCAAGTAAGATTGCCAAGAGAATAGTAGAGTGGAAAGTGCAGTTAGTCACGTTTAACAAATGTACCGATGACGCACGCGCCAATTTGAGCCGATTGAACACAGTTGGAATTGTCTGTGTCATGCCGCCGTTCTACTATCTGTCAGTCTATCACAAGGCCTACTTCACACCCGGGACGACGAAAGCTAGCGAGAAAGTAGGGTTTTGTGATAAGCAATATCAAACTATTTATTAAAAATCAATGTTACCGTTAATTTAATTGTGAAATTTATCATTGTAAATACCAACATTATTATTATTTAAATTAATTTGATGTTTAAAAAACAACTATGTAAGTAAAATGATATTGATTTTAAAATTGTTTGAGGGCAAATTCATGATGTGATGAAGGAAAGGGCGGAAGCACTAGGCAATGACCATGTAGAAATACAAGGTTATGGTTGCTGCACATTTACTTTACTTCCGGTTGATCTTGAGAAAGTTCAAAATAAATAATTACTGTTTTTTTCGCTCTCCAAATTTAGGCATAAAATTTAAATTAAATCATTAAAAAGATGAAAACCTAAAACTAGAAAGAAAAAAACAGAAATTAATTAAAGCTTTAATTGATAATAAAAAAAATTTTTTTTATGAATGTTTAATAACATAAATAAACCAGTCAGACAAGACATTCAATCGTTTTAACAGTACAGATCATTTATTCCAATTTTTGCTGTCATCTTAACAATATTTCTATGATTGATAACGCCTTTACATATCACGCAACGTATATTTATTTCGTGTAACGGAGGATAACCGCAAGTTCGACAAAGTACAGCAATAAACGATGAACTAACCGACAATTCAAATGCATCTATATTACACTGGTGAGACATGCTGTATAATTTATTGATTTTTTACGGAATTTTTATATATTAAAACAATTCCTATTCCTGTTTAAATATTTCCTTTTACCCAAGAATGATTTTTTTTTTTAATATAAACAACCGTTTAATTAAAAAAAAAATATATTAGAAAAATTAAATACATTAATTCATTTTTATCCTTATGATGTGTCGATCTATCAAAACACGCCTACTATAATTGAGAATAAAAATCTTTTTATTTTACACTTTTGTTCCTATTTTATTTTGATCTATTTCTGCATGCAATCAAGTTAAATGAATGATTAAAGATTGAAGAAAAGCAGGATCAAAAAGGGGCGCGGCACGACGATGTAAATTGTAACCAAGGGGTGTGTTCTATGGATAGAAGCTTAAAGTAAGTATATGAGGAAGAATGTACATATAACGTTAAAACAAGTTTTACAGGTGCTATTGACTACTATTGACAATTTACCTATATTCATTATAAGATTGAATTTATTTCTAAGCATCGCAATTTTTAAAAAATAAACACTCCAATCTTTTTCATCTCAAAGTTTGTTCAATATGTGATTGAACTTTCTTTTTATTTCCGTGTAGGTATTTTTTTTTGTAGCATAAGAAATTTTTCTTCATCATTATAACATAGTTTATTTCAAAACATTAGAGGAAAGATGTGAATACAATCCAAGTATGAGTCAAAATACTCTTCTGGAAAATTCTCTTGGAGTAGACATGACTCTTGAATAAATGTTAGTATTGTTTTAGCTATTATTTGATATATTAGTAAAAGATCTGACTAATTTAAATAAATTTCATAATAAGAATAAACAATTGCTATAGAAATAATACAAAAGATAGATAAAACAAAGGATAAGCAACAATAATATTAATAATGAAAGTCTGATGCATATCAATTAATTCATTAGCTAATAAATTTTTAATCAAAGAATAAACTTTAAACTTGATGAAGCAAATCAAATTACGATGAAATTAATGTAATTATTGATAAAATTTAATGCTGAAATATATTTTAGTATAATGAAATATTAATTAATTAAAAAAGCTAAAGAATATGAATTTTTCTAATTTAGATTAAAATAGAAGAGAAAAAATTTCCGTAGTCTGAATGTAAAAAACATAAAAATCAATCGATTATACACATATTCCTTTTTCATTTATACTTCTTATTTTTTTCAATTTTCTTTATCCCTATAACCTCATTCTTTCTTACAACCCAAGCTTCTCAGTTTTGCCTTTCGAGGGAGGATAAAAATACGATAGGGCCAAGAACATCAGGACGGCCATTCAAACACATGTGTGGCGCCGGAGATTGCTTGGCACGAGTTTTTAAGGAATTCAAAAAAGAGAAAAAGAGTAAAGAATATAAAAAATATTACACTTTTATCAATTAGAATTTTTTTCTTTTTTTAAAATTTATAAATAACTGTTAATTTAAATGAAATTCTTGAAAAAATTGTAAATATTTTAGTCTATTGAATAGATTCTTTTTTTTTTGGATCAAATACTTAAAGGGTAGACAATGTGTGTGTTCACCTGACTACAATGTCCCCTCTCTCATTCAATTAAGACTGTCAAAAAGTTGTGTGTTTAATAACCTGACAGATATATCACTGATACAAAAATAACTCACATGAATTGTTAACTACTGAACACTTGAATTTTTATATAATATTAGTAAATATTAATATGAAAAATGACTTTTTTGTCGTGTATCAGCAACGTTCCATGCCCCGGGTCAACGAGCATGAAATGTACAGATGGCGATTTTTTCATGACAATATTAAAGAATGAATGATTATTGTATATTTTATAATGCTCAATAATGTTGAATAAATTATTCTACATATTAATCACAGTGAATAAACATTTAAATATTCAATAATTACCTCGTTTATTGCCGAGCTCCAAAATCTCCACCTTGTTGTCAGCCATCTTAGCACCAGTCACTGATCACAATGCACGATGGGTAAAAACAGACTGAGAAATTTTACGCGACTACCGCGCCACCTCTATGATGTTCTATTAACTATGTGAAAATCCCGCTCCTTTCAAATTTTCACTCTAAGTTTCATTTCTAAAACAAATAATTTCGTTGACTCTTTAATTGTGATGGAAGTTAATAAAATATTATCATTGTTGTCTTGTAATAATTGTTCCATTTATTTATAATAACAAATAGAGTTTTAAAAAAAGAATGTAGAATAATAAGGCAACAATATCATTGAAATAAATATGTTCATTTTCAATAAATAAGTATAAAAATTAAATAAATTTTATAATTTTGAATGTATAATAAAGAAATCATTAAATATTGAAAGTTACAAGTAATCGTGAGTATTAATTTATTTTTATATATTCAGCTCAATCCGTATCTATACAATTGCTGTATTCGAAGACTCCATGGATTGGAGTATATCTATCAGCATATATAACACGACTGGTTGGCTTATTTCCGCTATTTCTTTGAGCGGCAGTAGATCGTGACTTTGTTGAGTATTTAAGTTATTGTATTTTTAATACATAACGTTGAAAAATTGCAAAAATGACAACTGAAGTGGTTATTGTGTCAGCTGTTAGAACACCGATAGGTAAATGAAATTAGTCGAATTATTTTCATTTCATCACAAACCATATTTTTTCATTAAAATTATGTGGAAGACTTTTAAAATACCCATCATTTTATAGTGCACAAATATTTTCATGATGCAACATAAAAAAATATGTCTTATTTTGCATATGTTATCAAAAAGTTACTTGACAATGTAAATTAATAACTCAAGGGCATCTATTTATTTCAGTTAACTCTTCTAGAAACCGGTTTAGTTATTATATTTAAAGTAAAATTTAATTATATTCGACTTACTTTTTCTTGTACAACCTACTTCTAAAAATCCCGTTAATGTTAGAAAGTTTATTTTACCAGTCATCTTAAAATTTTTTTTTTCATATTTATGTTTATAAAATAAACTTTTTGATTATAGGATCATTTTGTGGATCACTATCATCCTTGAAAGCATCTGACTTAGGTAGCATTGTAATAAAAGAATGTCTATCAAGGGCAAATTTGAAACCATCAGACGTTCATGAAGTTGTTATTGGTCAAGTAAGGTTTATCCAAACTTGAAAATTTAATTTTTTCGTTATAATAACAACTATTGATAATATATCTAATACTTCAGGCATTAACAGCTGGACAAGGTCAGAATCCGGCTCGCCAAGCAGCTATGAAAGCAGGAATTCCAATAGCAGTGCCAGCATATGTATTGAATATGCTTTGTGGTTCTGGTCTGAAGTATGTACTATTCATATCTTGATGACTTTTAAACATAAATGCTATTATTGAATTTCCGTCAATTGGAGAATAGAAAATTTACATAACAGATATGATAAAAAGAACATTCATATGCTCTCCAATCTTCTATGCCATATGTACGTGTATTAACAATTATCATTATTTTCTAGAGCAGTCGCAAATGCTTATCTCTCTATTAAGTCCGGTGAATACGACGTAGTTGTTGCTGGAGGTCAGGAAAGCATGAGCCAAGCTCCCCATGTTATTCATTTAAGGAATGGCGTAAAGCTCGGTAATGGAACTATGATTGATACAATGCTATTTGATGGTCTTACAGATGCATTCACCAATGTTCATATGGGCATAACAGGTATGATGAGTTTGAATTTTAAAATAAATTTCTTTATTATTTACTAAATCATCACTTTTTTCAATTAGCTGAAAATATTGCCAAAACATATAATATAAGCAGAGAAGAACAAGATAATTATGCAGCCAAATCTCAACAAAGAGCTGAAGCAGCAATCGCTGCAGGACATTTTAAAAAAGAAATAGTTGCAGTTGAAGTACCTAATAAAAAACAAACGACAACAGTATCGGTTGATGAATATCCTAAATCAGGAACAACGGTCGAAAGTTTGAAAAAACTTCAACCAACATTCTTAAAAGTAATTTTCTCCTTCAATTATTTCAGATACTATTAAATAAATACCGAGAATTTAATATCAGTTGAAATAAAATGAAAAGATTATCCTGATTAAATATGAAAAAATATTTTCTTAGCAAGATGGAACTGTAACTCCTGGGAACGCATCAGGAATAAATGACGGAGCAGCTGCAGTTGTACTGATGTCAGCAAAAGCTGCTGCTAGTAAAGGAATTCCAGTATTAGCAAATATTGTTGCAATCGCCCAAGCAGGTGTGGAACCTAGTATTATGGGTATTGGTCCAATACCAGCCGTAGAATTAGTAGTAAGTTATTATTTACTTTTATTGTAATAATTAAAATAATATGTCCTGTGATTAATGCTGATTAAGAAATTTCAACATACATAAAACTACTAGCAAAATAATTGTTACAGTTAAAAAAGGCTAATTGGAAAAAAGAAGAAGTTGATTTTTATGAACTAAATGAAGCTTTTGCTGTTCAATCACTCGCTTGTTTACATGAGTTAGGATTAAACCCGGAAAAAGTTAACGTTTGTGGCGGAGCTATTGCTCTCGGGCATCCTATTGGAGCTTCAGGTAATTCTAATTCATGGATATGAAGACAAATTTTCAATCAAATGGTTTTACATATAATTTTATGTGATAAAGTTTTTTATGGAGATTATTCTTTTTTCAAGGAACCAGAGTTTTAGTCACACTTGTGCACTTACTAGAACGGACCAATGCTAAAAAAGGGATAGCATCATTGTGCATAGGTGGAGGAATGGGCATTGCAATAGCCATTGAAAGAAAATAGGAATAAAAACCAAGCATTCAATATTAAATAAGAAAATACTGCAATTGATGACAATTTCTTATAGACTATTTTTGTAATGTTATGAAATATGGCTTGTGCATTATGGTAGATATTTAGCACATAATTACTAATGATCAAGTGTCTTACTATTTTAAAAGATGTTTAATATTGTTAATAATGTATTGATAATCCTAAATATTTGAATGGAAAAACTATTATCATTAATTTTAATAATGGAGTAATGCGAAAATCAGTATTTCATCAATTTTATACAATTTATGCGATTATTATAAAGTAAAAGGCAATTTAAAAAGTTGAATACAAAAATAGTAATTTTATTATTACTTACTGGTATAATTTTTTAAAAAATTATTTCTCTTTTTTTTGTAAAATATTTTGTACTTCTGCTTTGTCATCGGTTAATTTTTGTTGTATTTTTTTCATTTTGAGCGTACGCCCTTGTGTAGAATTTTTTAGTGGATTTTTCATTTGATGTTTCATTCGTCCAAGCTGTTCATTTATTGCTGGTACCATGCGAATCTAATATCAAAGTATATATGAATGATTGAATGAATGATTACATTATATAAAAAAAATCTTTATCAAATAAATAATAAAGATACTTACATTTGGAGGAATGTGAACACAACGGATGTTTCGAGCTTGGACAAAAAAGGTATCAAATTTGAATTTATTACCAACTGGATCCGTAAAAATACATTTACTCATGACAACATTCATATACCTATGAAATAATTTATAAAAATAACATTTGTGATGTTTTATACAAATACAAAAAATTTAAATTATTTACCCATCAACTTCATGAACAGTACCAAATATATAAGCTTCATTTCGAAGATCAATTGTGGTTTTTTTATTTTCTACGGCTTTTAACAATATTGATAAAGTATTATAAAAAAAAAATTTTTCTTTAGTAGTAGACAATAATGGTAAATTCATATTTAATTTAAATTATTAATAACAAATATTTATTCTAGTTTTTTGTGATGTTTTTTTCAACTTGGATTGAAATCTTTCTCATGTTGTTTACATCATGTACTATTGTTCAGACGTGCATTGTACATAGTTGTTTAAAGAAATATTGCGCCAACAGGCGGCGCTTTGGATCGCAAAAATAGGTTAGTTACGGGGGAAGCAACAAAAGAATTTACCAATTATTGGATAATAATTTGTTTAAGTGTTGTATCGAATTTAAATTCAACTAATGGTAGTAATATGTAAAGAGGAAACATTAGTAATCTAAAAAGTGATTATTAAAAATAAATATTCTATGAGAAATATACAAACTGCTGGTATTTTAATAAAAATTCTCAATGAAGACTTTGTTTACCCGCGAAAACCAACGAGATGTCGATTTATCTCACTTTATTTATTTGTCTACTTTTTATGAGTGGTGTTATTTTGAAGGAACATTTAATACACGCTCATTTTGAATTAGAAAATGACAATGATGGAGTGGAATGCCAATTTGGTCGTGCACTTCGCAAACAGGTTAAACCCACGCCACTCGGCGGTATGTGTCTCAAGGATATTGTTTCACGTCTATCTAAGACTCTTCGCTCTATAGGCAACGATGAACTTGGATTAAAGGAATTTCAAAGAATGCTAGATCAACTTGATTTCTATGAAGTTCCTGATGATCCTGCTGCTGCTCTAGAATCTCTTGTTGACAATATTAATCTCCAACTCGAAAAATTTTATGATATCCTTCAAAGAAGTCTAGATATTGTTTCGCCAATGTTAGAAAAAAATTTATACGAACAATATTTGTATTCGGAACAATCACAATTTCCAGCTCAACAAGAAAAGTCACGAGATTTTTGTACACAAGTAGAGCAAGGTAAAGTATTAAAATTTATTGTTAAACAATCAATTGTAACTAATTGTAATATTTTTTTATTTTTTTAGCACTGGCGAATAATTTGAGATATGATCGATGGAAACAGTTGCGAATATTGCCAATAAAGAGACCAGGAAAAATATGTGGACAAGCAGGACCTGTTCGCAATATTGGATCTCTATTTTTATCTCAATGTAACAAGTCGAGAAATGTTATTGTTTTAATGGAGCACGGATCATTTATGTCAGAAGAAGACATTGCATTAGCCCGAGCATCAGCCAAGACAATGGTCGACATGTTGTCAGATCTTGACTTGATTGCATTTGTTAATTTAGCTGACCAAGGAGCTATTTATTGTAAAGATAACCTTTTAAAAGCTACGGATGTTAATAAGTATCAGTTAATTAGAAAAATAGATTCTGCGCCGAGAATTGATGTTGAAAATGAATCTATTGATTTTAAAATACTTACAAAGAATTTAAATGGTAATGTTGTCGTTGTTCATATTACAAACATGCTTAAAGACGTATCAAATGTTGAAAATATTGTGAAAAGTATATCTTCGAATAATCTAACAGTTTATTTTCGTACAGCGTTGATTCTATCTGATCTCAAACCAAGTGTTAATGTTGAAGAAACATTTATAAATGAAACTACTGCCACATTGCCGACAAATAATCCACTTGGATATGACATAGCAAGATTATTTGCTAATTTAGATTGTCCACAAGCCAACAAGAAGCATTTTTATCTTTCGGATGTATTTTTAGATCCTTTTGGAAAGGCTTTATCTGTGTCAATAGCACGTGCAACTGACAAAGTTTTAATTTCTCTAGATGTGAAACTACGAGAATTCGTAGAGAAAATCACATACTTCAATGCCGGTCCAGTAAATTCAGCAATATTATTTGATAAAAAAGGATTAGTATGGATGCATAAAAATTTTCCACGGATTGAGACTCTTGTGGAACAGCCAATTAAAGTTTATTTAAGAGATATCGAAAATCTGGATCAAAATTTGGTTGATGAAATGATAACCATTACACAAGGATCAAAACTAACACAAAACAACTTGCACAAAACAGTCAAATTAAGCTGGAAACATTTGAAATATTTAGATTTGATAGTGTGTATTGTTTCTGAAACTAAAAATATCACCAGATCGGTGGCTAAATTTCCTCCACCACTTCCAGATAATATTTTACATCACCGACTGGATTTAGTATCCCAAAGTTTAGCTGATAGCGCTGAACTGTGTCTAGATCGTCGAAGTATTGTTAGTCCGTTAAGTGCCGTTATGTACTTATCACCTTGGTGCTTAAATTCGTGGCGAGAAGATCTTACTTCTTTGATGAATTTTCAAAGTTACATGGCATATATCAAAGATGCTACCAGAATCCTCGCTAATCCTGGATTAGGCCAATTCGTTCGCAGAGATGCTGCGATGCTTGCACAAATTGTTGATCTATTTAAAGAGCGTCATGCTAAAAGTCCGTCTAAAATGTTTTTTCTAAGAAGATACGTTGCAGCAGTAGAAAGTGGAGTTGTTGAAGTTTATCCAGGAATGGCTTTAGATTCAAGCTTGGATCCAAGAAAAAGAGCATGGTATGGTAAAGCTATAGATTACCCAGGTAAAATAGTCTTAAGTGGACCTTACCTAGATGCTGGAGGAGCCGGATATATTATTAGTTTGAGCCAAACGATTTTTAAAGGTCTAAACTTGACAAGTCATAGTCCTGAAGATCCAGTTGTTGCTGTAGCTTCATTGGACACCACTATCGGCTACGTAGCAAGATTATTAAGAGATATGTTACCTTTTTGTAATGAATCCATGATCAGGTGTTTCTTGATGGATGATAAAGGATATTTAATTTTTCACCCATCCTTTTTGGAGCCTGCTGGAAAACTTGAAGCTCAACATCTTACTCACAAGGAACATCTTGTTGCCGTCGATATCCTTAACCATGAATTTTTCGTGAAGAAGAAAGTTTGTGCTAATCACCTAGATGGCACAGTTCAAAGATATTATCAATTTAATACATCTTTATCAGAAGTTTTAACGAATATAATTCATGGAGAAAATTGTGTTAAATATCAAATAGCTGCTGTTCCTAACACTAATCTTTTTTTCGGAGTAGTTAATGAAACGTGTGCATCTTCAGCATTTTGCCCATGCTCTACAATGGATCGATTTTGTTTTAACTGCAAAAGAATGGAACAAATGGAATGTGAATGTCCTTGTGAGTGTTCTCTCTACTCTTCAGGATGTAAAAATACATCTTCAGTTAATAATATTGAACCTTGTGTACCTCCATACGAACAAGGTATTGTTCCTACAACTCGATGGGATCGCGTTTCTATACCTGCACATCTAACACTTAATCAGTGTCCTTCACTAAATTGTAAAGCTTATACAAGTGAGTCTGAATGCCTAGGAATTGTTGGATGTCAATGGTGCTCTCTGGATATCGATGGAGAATCATTCTTAGGCAACCCTTTTTGTTCTGAGGATTATACTTGTTTCAAAGGTGTCTTGGGTACACCTTTACCGTATAGTGATGGATTTTATAATTCTCAAGCGGCTGGAGATAGTGTTGGTAAAGAATGGCCATCAGTAGGACCGGTTGCTGGAGGGATTCTTGCAATAGTTTTGATTTTTGGAGTAGCTTTATTTTGTTATAGACTTCATAGTGTGCAATCTGGATTGGAACACCAATGTTTACATCTTCACGGATCTCCAGACACCCTTCGAATGACTCATATGGACATTGGCCTTGGCGGTAGTGCTACTGACGCTGATCCTATTGAATTGGAACGTTCAAAAAATCATCTTGATTCTTTGCTACATGAAAGTACACCGCCGATTTCGCCTTATCGAGTTTCTTCAGGGTATAGACGACCTCCTGGAGGTGACAGTGATCATGGATACAGTACAATGACACCTCATGATGATACAGAACAGCAATCTTTCGCAGAACCTCTTCTTCTTGTTAGTGCAGCTCTTGATTCAGAATTTAATTGTACTAGACCAGTATCTCCGATTACTCATCTTGAGTCACCGCATCGTGTTTTGGTGCCAGTCACCGTCCATCGAAATATGGAAACTAGTTATTGTTAAATTAATTATTTTATTTTTATTGCCGTTTTATTGCCAAAATTATTTATGAAATTTTTTTTTCATCAGCTTTATTTGAACTGATTTTTTTCTTATAAAAAAATAATTGTTATTAACACTACCAGTGTATATGCGATTCTTTTTCTCCATAGCATTATGGACATGTGACGTAAAATCGTGCCAATGAATTGATATTTTATACTCTTAAGCTGTTTGAAACGTACAGACTGATTGAAAAATTGCCACATATTTTTATACAATGATCAATGAATTACTTAAAAACGCATTTTATACATTTTTTTTTTACATAGATTTTTAAACTAGACGGGTGAATCAGGGGTTAATTAGTAATTAACTAAACAAATTTTATACATAAGACTCGGTATTATTTTATTATAAGCTATTTTTTTTATTGTAAAATAATAAAAGTTAGAAAAAGATGAAAAAAAAAAATGAATTTGTTTTTATTTTAAGGTAGTATGGGTAAAATATGAAAATAAACTTAGAGCAGTTAACCTATTATTACATTAAAGATAAGCATCTAAATAATGTTTTATTCAAGCTTGACGATGCCTTATTGACTTTTTTAATGAAATATTGAAAATTAAAAAACTTAGTTTTTACGTTGACTCAATTGGATCCCGTGCGTTATTCTTTTTACAAGACCAATTTGTATTGTGCGCTTGTGCAGGTAAGCCAGCCTAATAACAAACATCTGAAGTGTACTTTTCTCTGTTCTAACTAGCAAGAAATTATTATTGACAAACTTTTTTTAACTAAGTACACTTGGAAGAAAATTATGAGTGGCTTGCAGATGTTAAAGAAAGATTAAAAGGAATCTTCTGTCTCTAAAGGAACACATGTTTCGTTACTCTCTAAACAAATTTTCACAATTTGTCTTTGATTTGATGTTCTTATCAATGAAAAAGGGCAGACGAACGCAGAGCAACATGATGAGTCGTCTGTCAGCATGGTCATGTGCAGTAACATACATAAAATACATCACGAAGCGAAGACGGTTATGAACGAACTGTCCGTATAAACAACCCCATTGACCTGCTGAAAGGTCCGTATGACTACGTTGTTCAGCTAGATGTTGGCGTAGCTTCCGTAATTTCTATCATTTTATTTTATTTTAACTAAAAGAAACTATTCTATTCATGTCAATTAATTATAAAAATACTATTTTACGAATTAAGAAACATTTTATATCAATATTTTGGTTTTATTTTCTAATAAATCATCATATTATGGTAAAAATATGTGTATTGACTTTAACTGCGTAATGAAAATAGTTAGATGTCGATGACAAGGGCCAAATATGAAGAAAATTATAAAATTATAAGAAAAACTTTTCCATGAATTTTTTTTTAATATATCTTAAGTTATCATTATTATTTTAATATTATTAATCCTTAGTTTGAAGTAACTAAGGAACAAATTCTGGATTTTTTCTTAAGATAACAAAGCCTTCCATAATTGGAGTTAAGGGAATATATTCTTCAGTTGCAAGTTCAGCTCTTTCTCCATAAGCTAACAATACTGGAGTTGTATGTGTTTGGAAGCCAGTAATTGTTTTAGGCTTTCCAGCTTGACCAACAACATCCACTGCAATTCCAACTCTAACTGGTACTGGAAGCGGGTTCAATTCTTCATCAAAAGTAACGAGCATTCTAGGTTGCATGGCTGCTGCCAAAGTGTATAAAAGATAGTGGGATCTTCCAAGAATAACTAAAAGTAAAATGTATTTATTTATTTCAATCGATTAAAAAAATATTTCCTTTTTGACTATTTAATACTTACTGTTTTTGACATCAAGAAATCCGATAATAGTTGCTAAAAGTCCAGCCAAAGCTACAGGACTTAACAATTGTCTGTCACTGTGATAAGGACATAATGTAAGAGTTCCTTTTCCAAGATGAGTAAGACCCTGTGCAATTCGAACCATGAAGAGATTGTTAGGATCTTTAGCATGATACTGAGCAAGCTGCCGAAGCATAGCAGCTAGACGAGCGTTATTAGTTCCTGCACCGACTAGACCCATAGCAAAGATAGCATTATGAGCCACTTCTGGGTCACTATCGTGAGAGAACTTGGACAAAGTATCAATGATATTGAGTTTTGGATTGGAGACGGATATGAGACCCAAAGCCAAAGGTACTGATCTCCGAATAACGGGTTCACAATAGCGTAATAAATGCCCAAAAGTTCTATAGGCCATTTCTGACCCAATTTCTTCACCCATTGCAATTAAAGCAATTCCCAAAACAGCTATTGCTTGTCTAGAACTTAAATCTTTCTCTTTTGTCTTGTCCTTTTCCTTATCCTTTTCTTTTGAATCTTTGTCTTTCTCTTTATCATCTTTCTTTTCTTTATCCTCTTTATCTTTTTTATCCTTCTCTTTGTGATTTCGATCAGACTTGTCATCTTTTTCATTCGATGGTTCATAATGTTCAGAGCAAATATGAAGTAAATGCTGAATCTTCAAGACATTACCAGTTCCTGCATAAGCACATACTTCTACTAAAGTGGTTGACATTGATTTAAAAGGTTCAGGAATAATTTCTAATGCTGCTATGATGGCTTCAGCTGCTTCTTGTTTGCCCAAAAAGCACAGAGCAAGACCCAAAGGTAAAAATCTTGCATAAGTATCTTTTAAATCTGCTTCTGTTTTTTCCATGAGACAATGCATAATTGCTGTTGTTACATAAATATTACAAGAACCAACTGCAACCATTCCCAAAGCTAAACCAGCTGTTCCAACAACTTCCCAATTGGATTTAGGGTCTGTAAGAACTGGAGTTAAAAGACTGAGTACTGCTTCACGATTAGAACCTGCGTATGCCAATCCTAAACCAACAATTGCTCCGATTCTCAATGTGTTACTGCTGTGAAGTACGTAGTCTGATAAAAGAGCTAATGCTGGATCACATTCATTTCTTACTCCACAGTTAACAATTCCACAAGCTAATAATGCTCCAGATTTGATGTAATCTTCAGAGGAATAAAGATACTTATCTATCGGAGTTAATCCTCCATCAACATCCCATAATAGCACAAGACCTAAAGATGCGGTTGCACTTAACATGCCATGCTCTTTATTTTTAAATAACCATTTATTTCCATCATCAATTAAAAGCTTATCCTGGCCAAATGCTGCATTAACAAATCCATTTACAAAACTTGCAGCAAGATTTTGACGTGCTGAATCTACTTGACCACCACCAAAAGGAGGTCGAGAATTTTCTAAATGCAGTTTGTAAACGTCTTCTGGAGTTTTTGGCTCCATTATATCTAATTCTCGAGCCAAGTTTAAGAAATGATTATTTAAATGGGAATTCGACATAATTTCAATTAAATCATCATACTCCATTATAGATTCGGGAAGTTCTAAGAAAATTTGTTGACGACCTAGCATATATGCTAATTGTTTTTGAATTGACCTGAAAAATATTGAATGGCAAGTTGACAATTTATTTATTTACTAACATACTTACAAAAAAAAATAATTCAATGACTACTTACAAATCTGTGCAGCTTAAGAAAATGTATCCAACAAGATTCAAATCATTAAGTTGCATAGCAAGCCGTAAAGCTTGAGGATATTGTCGAAACTTTCTATACAATTTCCAAGCAGCTTTCAAAAGTGTACTATTCTCTGGATCAGCAACATAAGGGACACAAGATGTGAGATATAAGCAGACTCTTTGATAAGCACTCTCATCAACAAACCGTTGCAATAAATCAAGTCTCTCGATTTCCATTAATAAATCACAGGCTTCAGTTTCAGCATTATGAGCCATATTATAAGGAATTATTTCATGAACTAATTCTATTAATTTCTCAGTATTTGATGCTGCATCTTCTCCAGTACTAACTTCGTCCCATTCTGCAGCTAACTCTCCAGATAAATGTCTCACGTATTCATGACCCCATTCACTAAGAGGTAAAGAAGAACCGCTTAATCGGAATTTAAGACATTCTCTACCTTCTCCCATGGTCATTGCTAAGACTGAAATAATATCAGAGCATAATTCTCTTGATTCAGTATCATCAAGTTTTTGATAAATAGCTTTCATTGTTTCATAATGTGGACGCATGAACTTTAGAGGTTTAGGAACGCTTGTCATTGATGTAGTTGAAGCACGAATATGTGCTCGAAGTTGTTCGAGTGCTGGAAAATGAAGACGACGATCAGAATCTTGAAGACGTTCAACTAGAAGCTCTAATTCTTCTTGAAGTTGCTTATCTTCTTCAGACTAAAAAAAAGTTAATAATTTAATTGAAAAGACTTTATAAATCTACTTATTTTTCGAATATTTCAAATGTCATCTTTAAATTAAAAAATGAGTAAGTCAAAAGATGACGAAAAAAAATGAACACAATAAATTAATAAAGAAGTAACTCACAAGATCATTTTTCTCTTCCTCTTTATTATTTTTAACCTCTTTAGGCGCACTGCTTTCAGCTTTCGTGCTTTCCGGCATTTTTAGAGTAATGTTTTAAGCAATCAATATTAAATTAATTCTTTGTTTGCGAAAACTTCCCGTCAAACAATTATAAGAATTGTAAATGAAAAGTAAGGTTATAATTCTTTTTTATGCGATATGCGAGTCACCGTGTGTGTGGTGATCTCTTCCGAGAATGTGTATCATTAAAAATAGAGACCAGCAAATGGAGCGGTACCTGGAGGATACATTTTGAAATAAAATTAATTCGATGAAAACACAGCTGGTCTAACCTTATTATCATTACATTTCTAATAATTTAAATTTTATTATTATTCATTTAATATAAATAATTATGACATCGTGGATTAAAATAACTCCAAGGTTTGTTGTTATAGTATAATTATCATAATTTTATGGTAGTACAATAAAAAATTTATTTTAGATTTCATCAAGGATTAGAGGTGATTTCTAAACTTGATATCGGTAAATTTCGTTTACTAGTCAATCATATTTGTCAAGAATTGTTTGTAAATAATGATGGAAAAATATTTAGCGAAGATGAGGAAGAAAAACTAATAACTTCCCTCAGTTTAGAGAAAGAAACGTTAAATTTATTAATTGATATAATAATATTAATATACTCGCAAGCAGCATTTAGCGTTGTAAAGCCTGCAGTGATGGAAAATACTATGAAAGAATTATTTCCCTTATCAGAAGAAAGTATTTCAGTATTTGTCAATGCTTGGATTACTCATGGAAAACGAATTATTGATACTCTACGTCAAAAATCCATTTTTCCAAATCAGGTATATCTCAAGTTTTTATTTATTTTTTATAATTAAATTCTTGTTAAAAAAATCTTTGAATAATATTATTCTAAGGTTGAAAACATCAATTGGAGTTTTAATATCCAAGCCGCGTCTTCATCAGCATCTTTTGATAATAAAATGAATGTTTTATTACAATTAGCAATGACGGGGAAAGAAAAAGAAAAATTAACTGTCGAGATGGATAAATCGAGTTTATCTGATTTATTTGAAAATCTAGAAAAAATTCAAAACCAGTTGGATGCTCTCAAATAAAAAAAGGTAAAGTAAAAGTATTATAATTTTATACAAATGGTTTATTATTATGATACATTGAATCGTTCATAAACTGATGATGTTTGATTACGACCTCGATCCATGTTTCCATAAAATTCCGAATTTCTATATGCATCATTGCTCGAAATTCCTGATATTGAATGCAATGAAGATCCGTCCGATAATCGCGATTCTACCGTTCGTGAACTATTATTAGTATTTTTATTACGGTTATTTGATACGGTCGTTTTTATAGGAGCTGTTTCAAATATTCTCGATGATTTGCTTGTAAAAAATTTAGTTTTACACACTACCAAGACTACCACTAATATCATGAGAAATAATATTAGAGTTGTTACTGCTCCAACAATCCAACCCAGTTTTTCATCGTCTAATAACAAAAGAAATATTAACTTTAACTGATATGTTAAGTATAGAACAATTTCAACGTACCTTTTGAACGAATAAAAAGATTCACAGTACCATTCCCTAGTTGATAAGAGCTGCCATTTATTTCAAGAACAAATTGGCAAATCCATAAACCCAAATCATTCATATTTGGTTTGAACTGCAGTGTACAAATTCCAGACGTATAATTCAATTGCACATTTTGTCTATTTAATTATTTAGGTGCATTCATAATTATACTTTTTGGTCTAACATTAAATTTCTAATTATTTTACATAAGTATAACATAAAATTTTTATTGTAAAAAATCACCTTAATTTTATAGTATCGTTCATCGTTCTTTTTTGATTGGTTTTATGAAACCATCGACATTTAGTGTCCAATGGTAAAGGATTTATTCGACAACCCATGCTAATTTTTTCATTGAGATTTCCAAATATTGTAACTACTACTGGTTCTAAAATTACATCATTAAATTTATAAAGTGTTCTGTTTTTTTTTTTTATCTGACTACTTATCTAAAATATTTTTTTTTTTATAAACTATTGAATAATTCTTACCGTTGAACTTCTATGTAATTCTTCTGATTCTTTATGATGAATGACTCACATGTGCAAGTGCTTTGAATAAAAGTTAAGCGTGAATTTCAGTGCACTCTACAATAATTTTTGAGCACAAATTACTACTTTTTGTGAATATTTCTATTTGCTAAACAACACCAAAATAATGGTTGATATATTTGATAAATCTCCACAGGTTTTTCAATTTTCTTCATTTTTATTCAATATTTATAATAAGATATAAAATTTTATAAGATGACATTACTTAAATTAAACATTAAAAAAACTGTAGAGTTGTGATTTGTTTGAAATCATATTTATTTTCTATGACAATATTCCAATCATCTTAAATATGAATAGTAAAAATAAATATTCAAGATATACAATCGGTAAATAAACTCAAAATTAATCATTACGTGCTATTTAAAAATTATTATAAAACAACATTCGAAACATTCTTGTCTTGTCAGATTTGTACATTTTTAAATCTAATTCTTAGCCTCTCCGTCGTATATTATAATATATAAAAATCACGATAGAAACATCAACTAATTTAATTTAAATTAATTTTTAATCAAAAAAATATTGTGACATGAAATAGAATGAGTGCAAATGATTAAATGAAAAAATGCTCCAAATGAAAATGCTATCATGCATAATAACATTTATAAAAGAATTATCGAGTATTATCGATTAGTGGCTAATGAGCAATTAAATAATACAACTAATCAGCTTTGATAAATGCCATTTAATTAATCACATTTAATATGTTTTAAATATTAAAATTAATTATTTGTCTATTTTTAACCCATGAACTGATTGTTCAAAGTCATGAATATTTTATTAGTTAAGAACATTTACAGAAATTTTAGTTTGAAGTAGAAAGCAAAAAGTAATTTTATCTTGCAATAATTAGCTTCAACACCTCATTTGTATTTAAATAAATTAGAAACATGTAAATGCAAGAATTTGTTGTTATTTCTACAACAAATGATAGAAGGAAAAATAGTTTCCACCACCTCTTTATAATTTTCTGATTGAATTAGAGTAAATTTAATGGTTCTGCATCATAATAATGAAACATCGTTCAACTATTAAGTATACCTGGTTCTAGTAGGCTAAGTTTAGTTGGTGGTGCATTTATGTAGGTTTCTGCACCATAAGCTTTCACACTACACGTCCATAGACCTTCCTGTTCGGCTAGGGCATGACTTAATCGAGCACTACAATTGCGACCTGCACTACCATCAGGTGTAAATTGGCTAATTACTACTGTTATATTTGAGTTGACTGGTGTCAATGACCATCGACATTGTTCGACTGCTGATGACGTAATGCACCTTAAGAAAACGCTCTCACCTGAATATATTTGTATATTTTGTAATAATTCCGAAAACTCGATTTTTTCTTAAACCAAAAAGAAAAGAATATATTAGTTTGCTTCTGTGATGTTGAATTTGAATAGATAAGTTTGTTTTTCAAGTACATATTTATTCAACTTATTTTGTCACTTCAAAACTTACCTTGATTATAAACAATAACTTTTGCAAATGCCGAAGTATGTATTACGTTAGTTGAGGGTATAGACACTTGGCAAGCCCAATATCCTTGATCTTCAAAGCGAATTTGTGGAAAATAGAGAGTACAGTTTCTTCCTAAATTTCCCGTACCAGGAAATTCATATTTCACAACAACCTTTGTGTCATCTAATGAATGCCACAGCCAAGAGCATTTTTCTATTCTATTGTTTGTTGTACACGCTAACGCCTCAGGAGAAGCTATCACTACAGATTTATTTTCTGGTATTTCCACGAAACTAATTTTTGCTTCATAAAAAAAAAAAAATCACGATTAAATTAGTGTAATTAATTATAATTCACAAAACAAAAGCAGAATTTATTAACAGTAAACGTAATACGTTAAAAGAATGCCAATAATTTGAGAGGTATTCACCTGAAGGTAAAAGAGTTAAAGTTGCTGGAGCAGCTTCATGAACTCGACCAGAGTGAGTCAATCTTACTCTGCAAGTCCATATCCCTTCTTCTTCATATACGACATTTTCCAACCTTCTCGAACAATCATGCTTGTTATTGTCATTTGGTACAAAATTTTTCTCAATTATGGGCTCTTTACTGGAGTTAAGGGGTTTCCAAGTCCACTCACATTGTACGACCGGTTTGTTTACCAGGCATTTGAGTAAGGCAGGTTCCCCCGCGGCTGTCTTGATACCTTGCGAAAGCTGTATGAATTCCACTGGAATTTATGAGCGAATTCCATAAATAGCTATGTTGTGAAACGCCAATTATTTGAGGGACGTACCTTCTGACACGAAAAACCATACGGGTTTTGCTTGGATGAAGCTGCTGTTTAGATCCGTTCGTACTCCACACGTCCATAATCCTTCATGTTGACGTAAAACATTTTTAAATTTAATGCTACAATCAGTATTGTTATCCCCGAATGCCGGAAATTTTCTCTTTTCTATATTCCATACTTCAGTCTGATTAAACAATCGCCATGACCATTGACATTCTTTCACTGGAGTTTCTGTTTTGCAAATTATTTCGCTTGATGACTCTAGTGCTGCTTCTTGGGTTTCATCAGTCTTCAGAAAAGTTATCGTTGGTTCTAAAGATAATATTCAGTAATTTAATATGATTGAAAAAAATTATCAAATTCTTTTTTAAAAAATATGATGATTAAATTTCATCAGAATTTTAAAAAAGTTATATCTTATGAAGAGTTCAAACCTGGTTTATCATTAGCAATATTTAACATTGCAGGACTAGTACTTGTAAATGAATCATTATGTGAAGTTCTTGCTGCACAAGTCCAATATCCAATTTGTTTATAATTAGTCTGTGTGAATCTTACAGAACAGTCATTGCTATTATTTCCAAAAGCTGGAAAAGGTTTCAATGGTAATGCTTGAGCCATAGTTGCCGGCGAGACAGTAGCAATTTCTGCAGTTGTTTCATTGGAATTTAACTGAGGGTTAATGTCCGGCAAGGGCAAATTAACTGGCGGCAATGGTTGCCAGGACCACTGACAATCTACTACAGGATGCGCAGTTCTGCATTCCAATAGAACAGATGATCCTAAAACTGTCTCGGTATTTTGAGGAGTATTAACAAAAATTACTGAATTCGTGGCATTATCACTCGGAATCGTAGTTCTAGATAAATGCTCATCAATATTAGAGATTGTTGATGATGGTGATGTTGAATCAGTATTTTCTATGGTATTTGAGTATAAATTAGTAGGCACATTCAGAGGGCCTTCAGTCGTAGGAATTCCTGAAAATAAAAGAAAAATTAAAAATCAATCAGTAATGAATTAAAAAATTATACAACCGTTCAATACTGTCAGTCATGATATTTTATTCTTTTTTATCAATTAATTAATTAAATAAAATATATATGCATCGGGTATTGACAGGAAATTGGCTAGCAATCACGTAGACCATCGTGTCGTGCATTGAGTTGATGCTACTGTGCCTACATTTGATACTAGATGCTTTCTACCAGTTATATGACCTATTGATACAATTCATTCAAATTTTTTAATGATATAATAACTTGAATTTTTTCATTATCATTGATATTATTCAGAATTTATATTAATTGGTAGACAAGTAAAATTTGTTATCTAAAATTTTGAATAAAAATAAATGGTTTATCAAAGTATATGTAAGAATGGTTGTGTGATATTTTGCCAAATTCCTTGCATTGCAGTGGGCTTAATGATCCTTGGAACCAGTTCTGTCACTCAGGATTGCGCCCTGAGCACGTCTTATATGGGCCATGAATCAAGGATCATTCGAGAATTCTTCATACAAGTATTACAACATTCCAATGTTAAATATCTCATGTTGCGGACAATGCACTGAGTGAGTAATTTTGTTTAATTATATTATCGTTATATTTTTAATCTCTAGGTCACGGTCCCTTGTTCTTCCGGTACTTTCTTTTAACTATTTAGTATGTACTTGTAATTAATAGCGATGTCAATGTCATTTACTGCATTTATATTCTATCGACATGTTCTAAATGAAAGTGAACTTGAGAGAGTCGTTTAGTATCCATATTTATGTGAAATTTTTTTGTCGATTTTCATCATTATTTATTTTCATTGATTTCTTAAAGCAAAACAAAGAAATGAACTTAAATTCATTTTTAGCAATAAAAGTTCAATGTCATTTTTGTGTTGGATTGCATAATATTTTTTCCTGTCTCCTATGAATCGATTTTAGAATTCTGTGAGTCTTTAAGAATGCACAAGCATATATCCTGTATTACGTAAATAATAAATTAGTAGTTTTAGATGAAGTAACATAGTAATGATGCAAATAATGTTGATTGTTGGTTGACATTGAAAAAAAATGAAGAGATAAAATTATTCATTTTTTTTCATAAACTTATATTCAGTCAATAAAATATTATTTGTTCTTCGCTATTTTATTTAATCATTTAACTACTGTTTGAAAGACAAATAAAATTAAAAACTATGCTTTTTTATAACTGGAGTTCAGTAATAATTAATTTTAATCTTGAACAAGCATCAACTTTGTAAAATATCATTAAAATTTTTAATGAACCTTATTTATAACTTATTTTTTTATGTTTTGAAATAACAAGCTTTTTTGTACAAAAAGAAAAGATTTAATACTCACAATGTGAATAAAGAAATTTTATTTATGTTTTGATGAAGCTTTTATTGAAAAAATAATTTATCTTCATTGTTTACTCAATAATGCAATTAAACAAATATTTTTTATTATTAATATTAAAAATTCTTTCAAAATAAAATTCTCTAAAATTTCCTATGTATTTTAATTTAATGAATATTTATAGAGATCTCGTTGTTCTAGTATAATTCTTTTAAAATAGGTATTCTTATGATAAATAATTTTTTTCCTATGAACATTAGTAATAATGATTAAAAACACATATAATATCATTATCTTTAAGAGTGCGCAAATGTTTTGATAAGTGAAACATGCATATTTTTGTATTCTTTGTGAATTTTAATATTTCTCTGGGAACAACAGCTGTTGAATTATGGTCTGAATACTGCTACTGAGTAAACAAATAGATATCAATTAATCAGTTGGTTAATTTAATGAAAATAAATAATGAAATAAATTTAAAAAAAAAAAAAAATAATAAATAAAATATTGATTGTCACTAAATTTTAGTCTGAGTAATAGAAGTAATTAAAGAGTATAAATAAACTTTTCCTTACCTAAAACAACTTTCAAATTGATGAAGATAATCCAGAGGAAAATTCTTGATAACATTTCCATTTGATATCTTTGCGGATTGCGACCACGTGTATCGCAGTCGCTTTCAATCGATGCCGGGTTATTATAGAAGGTCATCCACACCGATTCACCATTAATTTACTTTCGCAATTTTATTCGCAAGCATTCATTATAGCATCAATTAATATATAAAAATATACATTTTATTTCCAATTCACTGAACCTTTCAAAATAAATCAATCAATTCTTGAGGTATTCTATTAAATACTTTTGAATGTTGTCTTAAATACTACATTCAAATTTATCACAATATTTCCAAATTCAAATCTATGCTGTATAATTGAACTATTTAAGTTAAATTAATCACAATAATTAATTAGAAAGTCTATTGACAACTTTTTTGAATAATTTAAAACTATTTGAAAGTATAACTTTCAGTGTCTTCTTGTTAAAATAGTAGAAAGCAATATGTTTTTTGCAATAATTAAATTTTAATTTTCAGCGATTGGCAATTTTAAGTAAAACTTCATTTATAGTTAAATTAATGGCCAATAACAATTGATATTGATAACACAGTCATGAACGAACAGTCGCGGTTGCGCTGGCAAACGAAATCGTGCGGAACGTGTTCTGGCTCGTAATCGACTGTAGTGAGTATATTTGCCGTCGAGGTATCCGTTTTCCACTTCCTCTTCTACTTCTTCTTCTTCTTCTTCGTCTCCCTGTGTTTTTTTCTTTTGTCTCCTTCTTCTTCCTTTACCACTTTACTTGGTCGTATATTTATTTCACCTTCAACTATCACTCCACTGCTGTAATTCTCAGGTATGCTTTGTTGTTTGAATCAGCTTGTCGTTGACTCACTGTCGTTTAGTTGTAGGCGGGATGTCACACGTTCTTCTTTTTCTTTCCGTTTTTCTCTTTATTCTCAATAGAATCTATTCCAATTTCAACAAATATCATCACTTCACAAGACTAATCCTGTCAACAAATAATATGCTTAGTATTGATGGTGCTGAATGATTAGCAACTTAATATCAAACTAATTATTCAAATTATTGTTATGAAAATAGTCACGTAGCATGCACCATTTCATACGTTAATTCATTTAATAATTAATAATTAAATTGATACCTTGATAGTGATACAATAATTTCTAACTATAATTTTTTTGTTCAACAGTGAGCAGATGAATTTTTGCTACGGAATATGATGCACGCAGTGGACTTCAATATGGAATGCAGCAGCTAGTGATGATCGAATGTGTATTTATGATTGGTGTGTTTATCGAATTTTGCTGAAAGCTGCGAAAAATTGTGTGGGGGTTCTTTGGAGCCTCTTCTTGTTCAACTGGCAAGTCTGTCATCACCAATAGTCATCGTAGCGACCGTGACGGCGTCGACCGAGGCTGAAGCTATTGCCTGATGTTGAGACCCCGACCCCGCACACTTAAACCGCCTTTTCTCGTCCCCCTGCGTTCTTCTTTACTCGAACGATGTAGTACCGAACTGCTCGAGGAATTTGCTCGAGGTATTCGATCGGTATTCCGATCGTAATAAGAAGGTAGAGAAGATTCGCAGGAGAGAGGTCTGACCATCTCGTGCAATATTCTCAGACCTGATTCAGGAATAAAATTTTTTAAAAAACTTTTTTTTTTTTCAATGATTCATTTATTAAATGATTACAATAAAATTAAGTGGCAAAAAAAAAGTACGTAATCGTTTAATCTTCAGTTAAAAGCTTCCGGGACTTCCCGAGATTACACGAGACATTCCAGAGTGCATTCCGAGTTGTGTGACTCACATGGTGACATTATCATAAAGAATACCTTTCGTCATTCGAATAGGATTTCATAGATCTTCTCCAATGCAATTATTTTTAATAGAACAAAGATACAATTAATTATTAAATGATGTCATTTATCATTAAAAACGGTATAATAATTATTTTTTTTAATTTATACCTTCTATGATTAATTGCATTTATGTATAATTGTTTATAAACTAATCTTAACATATAAAATATAATTATTGTCATTTTTACGTATTGTAAATAAAATAATTCTAAGAAATTTTTATATAACACTCGAAGTAACTATTTAATTGAAGTTATTATCAACTAAGTTTATCACTTTTTTTCTAATATCTACATTTATTGTTTGATAAAAAATTAATATATATAATATATATATATATATAGACTGACGAAATATTTTGTCACTTATTTATGCGTCGCACGATATAATAGTTGTGTAAATGACAAGGCCATAGGTCCACTGTCACATCGACGACCTGTACAAAAATTCGACCTTGTTAATTAATGTTCTCCAAACAATACAACCACAATAAAATTAATGTTTGGTTTTAATATTTATTCATGAATTGGTCTCAAGAAATGGAAAGTTAAAAAAAAAAGTCAATAATTTCAGCTGTATGTTTACATGTCAGGATGTACATTCAAAGATCTAGTCTTTATTAATATATGCCATAAAGTAATAGTATTAAATTATATAACAATAGCTAGAAAAACGCAAAATGAATTTAATTGTGAACAAAATAATTGTTTGATGATTATCATCATCTAATAGTGTTTATTTATGGCAATATTGCAGAAAAAGTAGAAATAATTGTTTGGTTGTCTTTCTTTGAAAAAAACCAGAGTACAGTATCAATATTTCTATTTTAAAGATAGCTAATAAATCATGAATAAAAGATTTTATTATGAATGACTTTAATAAATCAATTGAAGTCACTGTAAATTTAAATAATGCAGAAGATTGATTTATAATGAAAAATTGATTAAACAATTTAATTTATAAATAGCAAATATGACTTTAACAATGGAGTATTATGATAATTGTCTGATGAGTATTTTATTTGAGATTTCTTGTAAAATAATCGATAAAACTTGTCGGAGTCAGCAGTGAAAAAATATTATTTTATTGCATTTTTTAATTTTATTTCAAGTATTTTCCATTGGATTTCCTATTAGATAGTATTACTGCACACGTTGCAACCTTCGTGTGAATTTTTTGATCATATCTAACAGAGATGACACAGGTAATAATATTGATAGCAATATAAATTGCATGTGAATGTCACATTGATTACGAATAGTATTTTCTATATAAATTTTATATTCTACCACTACGTAGAGTAGAATTTTTCGACAATAAAATATGCGAACATCCAAAACATAATCAATAAATATTTTGTATTCCATTCACCTAGGAAACCTTGTTTTTATCGAGGGGATGCAAATACACTGATTCATAACAGCAACTTTGTACCAGGTACGAGAAATTAGACTCTCGTGATGGTAATTTTTAAGTATGCAAATGAGTATGTTTATAAGTTGGTTTGAGGAAGCTAAAGTTTATTCTATAAGCGTACAAATGCATAAATGTTTACCTTTATTTAACATCATCACTAGAATTTCTTTTACAAGCATAGTGATATAAAAAAAAAATTCTGGTGTTTATTAATAGATCGTGTCGTTAAATGATGAATTATTTTTTATTTATTATGCTATGTGAAATTCAAATAAAAATCTAGATGGCATCACTTTTCAGAGCAAGAAAGTAATACCGACTCAGGCAAACCATCAGAATCAGCTGATTGTACTCCATGTCTTCACAGTAGTTTATTATTTTTGATACACTTCAATATTTTTTTATAATGACTAAAAATGTTAAAAATTTGTCAAAAGAATTTCTTCATGCAACTTCGCGAGCTGATTTAGATAAATTGAAAGATTTATGTAATCAGCATGACATCAAAGACTGGACATTTATTAGACATGAAATCACTGGAGATACAGCTCTACATATTGCTGCTCGTGAAGGATATTTAGAAATAGTTAAATTTTTATGTGAAAATTGGAAGAATCATTCGTTTAAAGTTGTTAATGTTGTTAACAAAGACACTAAACGGCCTTTACACGAGGCAGCTCAGTTTGCAAAGAGTGATATCGTTGAATATTTAATTGACAATGGTAAGTCATTATTCTATTTTATTTGTTCATATTTATTAAATTTATTTTAAAAATATTGAAATTCATAAATTTTTTATTCTACTAATAATTCCAGGAGCTGAAGTTGATGCAATAAAAAGAGCTGATTGGACGCCTTTAATGCTGGCTTGTACAAAAGATGGTCCAGATGCAATAGAAAGCATAAAAAAATTAATAAAAGCAGGTGCCAATTTATCACTGAGGAATAAAGATGGGTGGATGCCTTTGCATATTGCTTCTCGTGTTGGCAATGCTAATATTATTAAATTATTGCTTGAAGTAGAACCTGAATTGATTAATGTTTCTAGTAAAAATGGTCGTACTGCTTTGCACATTGCAGGTAATTTGTTATTATTAGTATTTTAATAAGCCTAGTTAAAAGTGAATAATGATGACATTATAAAATGTATTAAATTTGTAATTCTAGCATTTCATGGACATTTAGATGCTATCCATTTATTACTATCAACAGAGCCTAATCTCCTTCATAGTCCAGATTATTCAGGCTTATTACCAATTCATGAAGCAGTCAAAAGTAAAGATTATAAAGTTTTTGAATATTTAATAAAATGTAGAGCAGATGTAAAAAAGACTGATTTTATAGGACACACAATTTTGCATATTGCAGCTTTATGTGGAAATATACCTGTGATAGAATATATTTTAGAAAATAAATTAATAGAAATTGATTGTAAAGATAATTTTGGAGCAACACCTCTAAATATAGCTCAAAAAAATAATATGCATTCTGTGATAGAATTTTTGGAGCAATATAAAACTTGATTCTTATAAAAATAGGTGGTTTTGAATAAAATAAATTTATTTATTTGATATTGATGACCTTATTTCTTGTTATGAATTTATAAAATACCTAATAGTAAAATGAGTCATTGATGAATTATTTGGGCATTTAGTTGTTTATTTCATCGCATCATTTATTTACATTCCTATTATGTCAAGACTTAAATTAATCCTACACTGTGTATCCTCACATTAACTGTTCATTGTTACCAGTTAATTAAACTAGTCTCTTTTCACTTATACATATAAGTATCTCACATTTATTTTTATATTTATTTATTTATTTATTATTTATAATTAATTACGCATCCTCCGACATGATTTACATTTAAAAGTATTCAACATGTACAAAGCATTATTTACATTATTTACAATTTTAGAAATAAATTCTTCAAGGATAACGGGGTAAGTAACTACAATAATCATAATAATTAACATAAACATATTAAAGTCACCTTCATTATGCTTTCTTTTTTCTTACGTCGCAGTTTCTCTCCCCTTCTCGCTTATTTAACAATTTTCTTCGACTTTCTTACATATTTTTTACACTCGCTCATTCTTTATCTCTCATTAGAAACAGAATATTATCTGTTATTCATAAAAATTCTCACTAGTTTTAAGTTTACAGTCGACTAAGACAGTAAACAAATTTAATTTCATTTTGTGAGCCCTAATGCAAGAAATCATGGAATGCTATTTTTTTCTTTTGTCAATATTAAGAAAGTTTTAACTACATTATGCGTGCACATATGATTAAAAATTGTGAATTTTATACAAACTAGTTATGGTTCCATTCAATAGAACTTTTTCAATTGTTCATCAATTGTTAGAATTATTTCAATACTTGATTATATATTTTACATCTTTTTATTATTTACTTATTTTTGTGTAGGATTTTCATTTTATCTTATTTATTTCCAAATATAATTATTTGTCAAAATATTAAGAAATATTATAATTATATTGCAGAGATATTGGAAAAACATTAATACACTTAATACGGCAGTAACTGGATTCATATTATAATTATTATAACGGTTTATTAATAATGATTTTTTTGTTTTCAAAATTAATATTTGAATAAGTTAAATCAATTACATAATAAATTGATTATTTCATTTATTTATTTAAATATGTAATTAAAAAATATGCATTATTATTGTATTTGCTTTGTTTTTTAGAGATATATCGCAGTTATAATTATTATACCCGACAAATCATTTTTTTTATTTTCGTAAAAAAAATAATTGACGAGATTACAAAATTTCAACACTGAGAGAATAATTATCTTCAAATGATAATAAAAAAAAAATAATAAATTTTGATTTGTTTATATAAATAAATATTTTCTATTATAAATTATAATTAATTTAAAAAATAAATAATTTTCACCCGAGATCATTCATTTCTTCTTAGTTTAAACAATAAACACAATTGATTTAACTGAGAAAAATTGTTCTCAATCACCTTTCTTATATATTTTTTATTCAATTTTAATAATGATTATTCTCTCAATGTGTGTATTCAATAAAAAAAAATATTTGCGATTATCATTGAAAAAATAAATAGACCACATATTTTTTCCTTTATAATATCGAATATAAGACGCGAATAGAATATTGTCTATCTATTTAAAAAATATAGTAAAAAACAGTGACTAAGTTTCGCCTTTTTTTATCTATCTTGGCGCTTGAAAATCACACTATCTAATTATTTTGAATATAATTCCGCGCCCTGCGGACAAATCTTTTGTTAATTATATTATTATAGTTAATTGTATACATACATATACATATAATTCTACATGTATTTATAAAAATAACATTTTGTGACGAAAACACAACATTTCAAAAGTAGTTTATGTCAGATTTACAGTGGGTTGAGAACAATGGATTAAGATTTCATGGTTGCGATATATTCTGACTCTCGACTTGTTTTCCTATTATAAATATTAAGAAATTTTTATTTCTTTTTCTTATCAATTATATCATTTAATTTAATTATTTATTTTATATTTTCAATAGTTCATTATAATTTTACAAATGTTTTCATTACATTTTATCCCATTTAAAACTCAATTTTTATCCGATTCTTAATTGAATAGTTTTTATAAATAATTTTTTTATCGAGTAATTTTTTTTGTCATTTAATTATTTTAGTTTTAATTGTATTTTTGATCAATCTTAAGAGTAGAATCGATATGTATTGATAATATTTATTTCTTAATTCTTTGACGATTTTTATTTATCGAAAAATAATTTTTCCTATTACATAGCGTGTTAAATTTCTATGTAAAAAATTAATGCCTTTAAATATAACAGTGTAAACAATATAACTGATTTTTTTTTTCAATTGAAAATATAAAAAAAATATTTGATAAAATAAATTAAAATTATATTTTCATTTTTTTTTCTTTATAAATATTTTTTGTTCTCCATAATAATTGTAGAATAATGGATGGAAATGGTCAATATTTACACTTACCATAGTAAAATTTACAATTCACACTTTTTGTCGAGAGTCATTCAACCATGATGTACAAATTTCATGTGAAAAATACACTCTAATAATAGTAATAATAATCATAATGACGATAATGATAATAAAAAGCGTTCACGTATTTTTCCACATCGCCCATACACGTCATACTTTTATACAACAATTTATTAGATTACAATTAATTAGTTAAATCGTCTCTTGTAACTAGAGCTAGATGTAGACATCTACATCCTTTAATGCAATTATCAACACTAATATTCAGTCACTAAAAATTCGGGCTGATCCCAAGAATATTCGAAGTCAGTTTTCTGCAGATTTCGACCTGCGAAAATTAAAAAAAAAATGTTTTCACTGCAAAGTGGCTGTTGTAGTATATTGAGCTGGACAGAAACGTCGATGCCCGAGGTAGGACGTCCTCAATTAATGTTTTATTAATGAATTAATATTTAATATCGATAATAGTATGATTAAATATCTTTTATATCACGATTCACAATTTTAACACTCGCTATAGGATGGCGGTGGCATCCCTCGGCCAGTATACATGTCAGTCTGTGGTTGAAGATGACACACAACTGTATGTCCATCAAGGACTGCAACAGTTCTCGTGTGGTCTTGTTGTGAAATACCATAATTATTCGGCAAACGATTCATCTCTCCAAGTTCATATTTAGCTTGTTGTCTTCTCAATTTTTCCCAGCACGCGTTAAGAGTTCTTTCTTGAGCTGGAGAATATTGAGAAGGTTCATATTGAAGAACATTTCGATCAATAGATTGACCGTAATGGATTAAATTACGATCATTAGCAGGAGAATACGGGATGAGCGGTCGATGATCACCATAGCTTCGAGAAGATTGTCTGCTCATGTCACTTTGTCTTCTACCATCTTCGTCGGACATGTCAGATACTTGAATCTCACCAGTATTGCCACCATTTCCACGTTCGATTTCCTCGTAAACCGGATCATCCTCACCGACTATTCCTCGTGATAAGTGCACGTGTGTCCCATGATTCTGGTGATAGGCAGATCCAACTCTGCTTCCATCTCTAATCTCCGTGTACGTGTGATTGTATGGAGAAGTAGCTCTTCGTCCAGACGGTCGATTGCTCCCAATCTCTAAGCTATCGTTTATCTGTCGTCGATCCCGCGTTCTTGCAGAATGGCCTAATGTCATCGTGTTGTGAGTCCTTGGTGATTCCTCTTGCTCTGAACCGCCATGACCCGAATCACGTGAATAAGATTTAAAAGAAATGTTCTGTGGATTGTGAAAAAAATTCTTATTAAATATTTGCTCAAAATTTATTTTATCTGTATCTTTATATTAATAGTCAACTAATTAAACTGTTAACTTAATATTTAATCAGTTGTTGGTCTAATTTTAACTCTATTTCTTTGAGCTACTTTTTGAAAAATAAATTCATTCATTGATTGACTATGTAGAAGAATTTACAAACCAATGAAAAAATTATTTTCAACATTAAAATAGTTTGGGCATGTTCGAGGAACATCAGTGAGTGCACAAAGCAAGAGAAAAATTAGTAGCAAGGCGTTAGCCGTGATTAAAATTACCTTCCACCCGAGGTTTTTGTTAATAGGTCCCCAAGTGGCGGTTGCAGATTTTGGGATATTAGGAGCTGATGGAAAGAAGGCGTGACGAGTGTGTGGCAAAGTTGCCACTGCGGAAGCATCCGTTGATGCAGTCTCGCGAGGTACTGCAGCCACGGCTGCAGGTTGTCTATCATTGTTTGGCCACCCTCGTCCAGACATCAAGTACTGTAAATCAATTCGTCTGTCGTTCTCATCACTGTCTCATATATTCTGTTTTATTGCACGTTGTCCACTTATGTATTTGTTTAATTTAAATGCTAAATAACTGACTACTCTAAATTGTTTATATCAATGGAAGGAAAATATTTTTTTGTTTTATAAAAAAAACTAATTGAAATCAATTATTAAAAAAATTGAATTTTAAAAATAAATTTGTTTCTTTCACAGACCAAATAAAATTTTCATTGTCATATATTGACGATTATTTTAGTAAACTATATCATTATGCAATTAATTTAGTTTGCTGAGCGTAGTCATTTATATTCATCACTTGAAATTGTCGACCTGCCTACGACAGAACTAGGTCTAGTCGTATAAATGAGGCGAGTTGGCCCAAAGTTATTTGGATCAATGTATGTATACATACAATATCTCAGAGGAACTGCATGCGCTAGCCAGTGTAAGCCAAGTGTTAGGTGCTATATTTATTTTTATATATATATATATATTTTTATATATTATTTTGTTATCTACGGTAGTAGGAAAAGCTAAAGAATTTTATCGTAAAATATTTAAACAATTTAAATTGTTGGCATTATTTAAAATCTCATTAAAATTGTATCCTAATGATACGTTAATTGCAAGTTAATGACATTTTCACAGTTTTCCTACTACGTAAATAAATTGTTTTTAATTAAAAATTTCTACGAATCTTTCGAAATATATTAATTAATTGAGGTTTCCTTTTTTAAAAAAGCATTTAATTACAGATTCGGCAAATGCCGATTAATTAATTACTTTAGTAAATAAATTTAAACATAGTAGAGGTTGCCGAACGAATTGACAAAGTAACCGTAACCGCGTACACCAAACCCCCTACTGGGAGTAATCACGGAAAAACCACCATTATGTTAGTATAGAGGTCTTTACTAACTTAAAAAAATATTTAAAAAAAAAAAATCATATTTGAATACAAAAATAAATGAATAAAAATTCTTATTAAACTGTGTGATTGTTGTGTCCCTTTTACCCATAATTATGTTTAAAAAAAATTTGTAATGAGCAAAAAAAATGTTGAAATACAAAAACTTTCTACGAAATGATATTAAAATAAAGTTATTTACAATATCTGAACTTTTAATGCTATAAAGTAGTCATTATATATGTTTTATTAACAACTTTGAATCTGATGCTTTATGTAAATATTCATAAATAAAATTTCTAGAAATGTATTTTTTAAAAAAAAAAATTATAAGATTATTTTGTTAAATTGTGTAATAATGTAAATGTTTAAATACTTTTTTGATTAATGTAATAATTTACAATAATATATTCATTAATAGTTGTGCTGATATGTACAAAGCAAAGAATAAGATAGTTTATAGAGGGTGACATGCACTCTACAAAAGAAATTTATATATAAAGAAAAGACAGTAATTAAAAAATATACAAATAATTAAATTAATCAATAAAAAAAAAAAAAATATAAATTTGAATGAAATAAATCAACAAATTTTTTCTCTGAAATTTTTTCTACTCAATAAATATGAATAAAAATATCAATGACTAGAATAATTAGGTGATCATAAAATCGTTATTGAAATGAATTAAAATGGACTTGATTTAATGGAAATAATTAGCTAAAAAATTTTTTTTCAATTTAAAAATGAATAATTACAAGGGACCAAAGCTAGAGCTTAAGTAAAGTCTAGCAGAAATATGTCAAGTATGAATGGTTACTAGCAATAGTTAAGCGAGAGACCTCGAACGGGTTTCCTGGTTTGGTGTATAAGCGGCTTTTGGATACCTTGCTGGCCAGGATGCCTATTGTGGTTGCTAGGTGCCATCATGTGCATCTGGTGTGGCCCGTTCGGCGATCTCACAGACAAATTATTCAGGTTCACATTTATCGAAAGATTCGTATTGTTAGAGGTTGTTGTCAGGTTGTTGTGATTGTTTGGCGAAGTACCCACATTGGTAGCAGCATGAGGTGAGAGCCCAGAGCTGTCGGTCGTTGGTGCTGACGGATTTGAAGAAGTATTATGTGATGGAAAATCTTTGCCTCCGTTCACACCAGCAGTAGCACCACTTGTTCCAGAAGAACCTCCTGAACTTCCAGTTACTGTCTTTGAACATCTTAAACACTTTGGTAACCACGAATGACGTCGAATGAATTTCCGATACTCCTTTCTCACCTGAAAATGCACCAAAGTGCACGACAAAAAATTTTTAGGGTGCACGAAACAAAGCAGCAGTGAAATGAATGATGATAAAATAATTATAAATAGCATAAATGATTATTATCAAGGGTCATATTTACTTTTAAAAAATTACTCAGACATTATTTTATTTTTTTCTGACTATAAATTGCTAAAAAATAAGTCTTTCTATATTGCACTATCATTTACAGTTTAAATAATCTTTCTCATTGATTATTTAATTTTAATCAAACAATTACAATTGAAAGAAAAAGTGATCAAGGGAACGCGTGCTGTAAATAAATTAAAAAAATGCTAGAGGAATATTCCAAAGGTAAATACATGGAAATAAGAAGTAATAATAAATCAATTTAGTTTATAATTTATTTTCCACCTTTTATAAATCATTCCAAACGGAATTTCTATCATTTAATGATGTTTTTCGTATAATTTATAAATTAAGTAATGATGGAAAAATAAGAAAATCATTGATTATTATTATTGGGATAACGATATAATTGATATGTTAAATAATCATTTAAATATTTTTAAAGTAATGTAGGTGATGGAGCTCCCGTAAATTCCCTTACCTTCTCATTTTGAACGCAATGGAACACAAATATGAATAGCCCTTGAAGACTATTTAAGACAGTGAATATATATGCCATTACGACAGATTCTTGATTTAAATAAAGTAGTCCAAATGTCCATGTCAATCCTAACAGGAATACTAAAACGATTGCTCCCCTTAGCCATGCCCTAAATTCAAGAAAAATCAATAAAATAAAGTTGAACTATTATTTCCAGGTATCTAAATGAATAAAAATATTATATTTATCAACATTGTAATCAATTCTATGAGATTCAATTAAACATTTATTCAATAAATTGTATTAGTTCTTATTTATATAGAGTATTAATTAATTATTCTTAATTGAAATCTCATTATTTAATATTGCTATAACATACAAATTATAAAATAACGTGCTTGAAGAATATAAAAATAGAGATTATTAAGAAAAAAAATTTTTTTTTATTAAATAAAATTTTTTTCTTATTTATTAATAAGTTAGAAGATTAAAAATAGTGAAAGATTATGTTTTCTACACATATTTTATTGGTATACATCTAGATAAAAAATTCTATAAATAAATAAATTATAAAATAGAAGTTAAAAAAAAAATTTAATCAAATAACACCAGGAAATAAAATAACCATTAATAAATAAAGTAATGCGTGCTTCTTTGTTGTGTTTGTATGTTTTGATTATTACTTTTATCCATGCTTATGTTAGTATATAGTTGAGGAATATTTATTATAAATAAATTGTCTAAAATAAAAATTTATATCGCTGATATTTTGATTTAGCATAGCATTAGCAGCTACAATTGCAGAACTCAATTGAAAATGCTTATCTTGAATGTTTTGAAGTAAAATATCGTTGTGACATGTGTATTTGACGATTAAAACCCGAAAATATTAAATAAAACGATTTGATAAAAAAAATAAATAAAAGTATAACAAGAAATAAAAAAAAAGAAAAACCGGAAAAGGAGATAATAATAATAAAAATGGTAAATATCTTACAAGTGCGCTTGCAATTTGTTGGGAAGAGCATTTTCTTCCTTTCCACTACCAACCAACCACGCCATGCAGAGGAATGTAGAAGAGTGTAGACAGAAGTGGGTAGAGATTTAATAAAAAAATGAAACAAGAGAGCTTAAGTTAAGTAATTATCCCGGCACCATTCGATTACTATTTTATTAATTCATGAGATTAATCTCGATTTGCTATACTCGATTCGTATTACATCATTATTTATTATTCGATTATCATAATTATTAATATACTTATTCATTTAATCATTAATAAACAATAACAAATGTATGGAGAAAATTCCTACTATTAAATTAGTTTAATATTATTAGTGAATCTTTAATTAATTATCAATTAAAATAAGTAATTAATTGAGTTTATTATTCATCCATTTATTTTATTGGTAATTCGAATCGAGTCTAAACGAGATATATCATTGATTTACCATTACCAAAGTATGTTTTATTATTAACTAAATATCGATATTGAATATGTTTGATAATATCAAATTAATAATTATAAAATAAACATCATTAATATTGTTTAATATTTTTTTAAAAAATTATTTATGTTTTTTTTTACGAGCTCTATTTTTATGAAATATTTTATTTTTTAAATAACTTTAAAAAATAAACACTGCATAAATTATTATTAACTTAGAAAATGGTGGGTTTATAATAATAATAGATTCGCGGATGATTAAATTAAGCGGCAGCATTTAACTATTAATTATTCGTGTATTGTGTTATATAAAATTTGCGTTCATTCCAACATAAAATTTTTGAATAAATAAAAATATTAATGGGAAAAAATCAAAATATTCAATAATTTGTAATGAAAAAAAAATGTAAATATAAAATAAAGATAAAAAAACTGAGGAAAAAATAAAATATAATAGTAATTAAAGAGAAATTAATTAACATTTTAAATACTAAAGCTTACGTATATATCTTATCCTAAATTAAAAATTATTTTTCAAAATTAACGACATAAAACTTTGTTATTGTTGTAATGACATCATTAATTGCTGTACTTTGTGGATAAATACACGCATTATATTTGTATTTATACTAATATTCTATTACTATTGTATATTACATGAAATAAAGAACTTACCTTGCGCTTGCAAGTCGTGAATGTTCTTTGCTCTTCATCGAAACTGTGGTATTTGCATGCCGACACATCATATAAATTGCCATCGACAAAAATACAAGATTAGCCTATAAAAAAAATATCAAGTTACATACTTCAATTCAATTTTGATCTTTACAAGATTTACATACTCTTTCTGAACATTAATTTTTCAATTTCAACGTATTCACTGCTATAGCTTTATTATTTATTTACCAGTATAACGAGTATAACAGGTCCCACGAAGCTAAAGATGAAGTAGTTGTCTGCTCGAAGCCAGCAATATCGATCAGTGCCATAACTTAGTGGATCGATAATACACGAAATTGCAACAACTAACAAAGGACCTCCATAAGCAATTAGATAGTACCAGCGTAGTCGAGACTTTTCAGCTTCAAATACTTCTATTAACATGACGTACAACTGAAAGCCTGGAGAATAGAAATTTATACAATGAGTAAATTTAATGATTAAGTCGTAAATTAGTATAAAGTCAAGGAATGAAAAATAATTTTATACCTTCAAGAAACATCCAGGCAAATGCACAGAGAAAGAAGAAGTGAAGAAGACCAGCAACTACTCCACAGACTATTCTCTGGTCAGTTTGTCCGATGCCACAGACAAACAAAACTTCAGCGATAAGTAAACAGACACAAAGATTCTTATGAATAGTCGTCCGGTCAGACTGAAATTCAAGAGGTTGTTATGAAATATTTTTGAAACATTTCAGTAATAGTGCATTGAGTGGATTACGTGAAATGGACTCTTTCTCTTTACCTCCATTTATGTTATTTCATCAACAACAATAGCAATTTCTGCACGGTTCAGGTTCTTACCTTAAGTCCACGAAACAGTTGAAATGTCATGATAGCTAAAACGAGGCAGACCACCGAGATGATGCAGCCGATATACGTGATGATTTGCAGAGCGACTTGATGTGCTATGTCCAGTTTTACAGCATGTACGTCCATCAGCACAGCAAAGTTTGTAAGGTGATTGCACTCACAGACCGTATGAGTGTCATTCGTTTTACTCATACGACAGCCTTCTTCTGACCAAGCACTAAAACAATTTTTGTTTTTGTATTTACGATCTTTCAGTAATTAATTTGTCAAAGTAGAAACATTTCATTTAATTTGTTCCATGAATAATATATGTAGATATGATTTTACTAAATAAATGTAAATTATTTTTTGACAAAATTATATTATTTTGCAAGAGTCATAATGCATTTTATCATAACAATGATAGCATAGTAATGTCAACTCACCTCATTATGTAATCCCAGAATACGCAAGTCGGGTTTGTTACATTTTCAACAGTAAGATGCTCGAAATAGATTCGAACGGGTTCAGAGAGTTGAATGTGTCGACCTTTTCCAAGAGATGCGGAGATAACTTTGCTGTTGAGTATTCTATTGCTGATATTGCGCGATGATTTTATTTCTTCGTTTAGAACGACAAAAGTCTCTTTGATTTGAGGTTGTAATATTTCTTCCAGTCGGTCGAAAGCCATAAAAACTAGTCGTATGATACCATCAACACTGTTTTCTAGCAACGATTGTTTTGTAATTTCCACATGGTCGTTTGAGGCTGTCCATCGTTCTTGTGCGGCTTCCAATGGAAATACTTCAACGTTGCTGACGAGATTTCTTGTTTCTAATACTCGGACTTCCATTACTAATAAAAATATATTTGATTATTACATTATTTACAACTATGATTACAAGCTATGATGAGAATATTATATTTCAGGTAGCTATTAAAGAATAGAAAATAAAAAATAAACTACTTTCAGTGTGATATTTTTTTTTTTAGTATTCAATAAAACTCTAGAGATAAATGAGTAAAGACTTACATATATTTTTGCCTTCTTGTAGAATAGTTTTTTGATGATGAAGGGTATCAGCAAGGAGAAAAGCATTTTCTTCGAGGCCAATGAGTAATGATGTAGCAACATTCATTTGCTCCTGATGACTCAGGTCCTTCCAAGACGCCATTTGAACTTTGTCAAGAAGATTACTTCCTGTTTTAACGACTCCTTGGAGTAACTCAGTAACACTCACTTCTCTCTGACGTGGATCCTGATAATTTTTTATGTCTTGGCTCATTTTCTCTGCCATGTTCTTAATAATTTTTGTAGTAATCATCATATCACCGCCATAAAGAATTCGACTATTGTCAGTAATAAGAGATAGTTCACTGTTAATTCCTAAAATTGTGTCACCCTCGCTCACTCGATTCTCTAAGGTTGTAAGCCATAGGGATCGACACTCGCTTAAATCTGGAGTATCACGATACCAAACAGCTGAATCTTCACTAGCTATACATCTCCACTTTGCTAAACCATTTGCTCCACCGGGACAACTTTGCACTGCAATGTCACCTGCTCTAGTTGCATTCCAGGTGAGATGTCTTGCTACCGTGGGTGGACAAATTTGACGATTATAGTCATTCCATTTACTATTTGGATTATATTCAGAATACGGTGAAATTGTCGATACTGAAATCAAATTTCCAATATCAAATTCAATTCTATATATATTCATTGTAAAATAAAGAGCAGTTTTATTTTAATTAATACATTTATCGATCACTTTCAAACTTAATAAACTATTTGAAAAATCAATATTTCAAAATTGAGTTTTAGTTGGTAAAGTTATTTTAACAACTTGTAATACTATAATTGGAAACAATTAAATTATTAAAAGAGATGAATCTGTCTATTTCTCTAAACTATTAATTTACAAATATCTAACAAAATCTTTAGAAACTATCTCCCTAAAATAATATATAGTCTATTTACCTATCGGCCGTCGAGTTGTTTTCCATGAAATGAAATTACTTTCTGTTGCTGACTCAGTAGTTTCTGGAATAACAGGTGCTAAAGGACTAACATTTCCTTTCGACGCGGGATTTAATCCACTTCGAACCTCATCCTCAGTTTCATCCACAACGACAGTTCTAAAAGTGCTCGATAGCCTGTAAATTGAAATTTAAGATAAATTTCATGTGCATCTAAAAGTAGAAAATTGAATGATGTTAGAGTAGAAAGTAGAATATATACTGACTCGAATGGGGTTGTTACGGACGGACTGGGGGTGGTTACCACTGGCAGCTGAGCAGGAGAACTTGATACTCTAGATGGTGGCCTTACACTAGGACTTGCTGTAGTCCATACACTCGGTTGAGAAGTTATTAACCATGGTGGACTTGGTCTAGAAGTCGTTGTTGTTGTTGCAGCTGTAAAATTTTTCATCGAGTTTACCTTTTGTTTCTAGTTTGTACATTAACTTAGCTTATACGAGCTCGTATAGATTTAATGGTGTCTTATAAAACCTACAAATTATTAAATTAACTATAACATGAAATAAAATCAACTATTATGTCATGTTCTAAGTTAAATTCTAAATAAAAACGTGCACAATAAAATATTTTAATATGTAATTATTTAATTTAATAAACTCTAATTTTGAAATTTTATTTAAATAAAATAATCAATAAAATAAAAATAATACAACAACCTCTTTGGTGGATTAAAATTCATTCGATGCATAGAAATAAACTCTTCGAAGAGATTGTTTGATAATCATTAAAGCTACTCACCAGATACACATTTATAATGCGCTTCGAGATATTTGAGAGTACTTGGACAAGGATCGCCAAAATGTAATGGTGATGCAATGATGCTGCAATTCTGTTTTTGTTGGCACCTGAACGATTAACCATTGAAAATTCAATGTATTTATTAGCTTATTTTTCATTATTAATACAAACTTTCGAACGTATTGCCATGGATTTATTGTATGCATATTTCTTTCAATAATCTCTATTATTATTAAATTATTATTGTTATGATTATAAATGTATGAAAACATTTTATATATTTATTCATGTGCATTTCGTAGTTTGATCATATTAATATTCTTCTATTTAAAGGTTTACGTGAAAATGTTTTTAAATATTTCATCAATAAAGTATTAACATATAATAATAATACATACATAATTTTTTTTTTAGATAATTTTTTTTCTTTTATGATGAATATTATAATAAAACAGAATTACATTATTATTTGTACAGAACTTTTAAATTCATTCACATATAAAATATCAAAAAATAATGATATCATTTTATATGGATTTAATATGACTATTTGATATTTTTTTAATTGAATGAAAAATAAATTTGAAAAACATTAAACTTTTTCATTTGACTTGATAAAATATATTATTGAGAAGATAACTAAATATAAATTTTTTACATATTGGTACATTATAAAATTCACTATGCTTATAATTTTTGGACTTATTTCGTTCTCGTTGCTTCAAATAAAAAAGCGTTCGAGAGAAAAAGACTTTTATCTCATCATTTTCGATATTTTATTTAGTTGTTTATCAATGTATCAACTTTTTCTATTATCGATAATCCAAGAACACTGATAGGAAATAAAAAAACAAGCTTTTGTAGAATAATATGCCATCATTTTTCCGTACTTGCTAGTTCGTTTGAAAAGCAAGCCACGTATCGACGTTCAGCCTCTCGTAAAACCTCAGGGCATTATCGTAGTTTCTCGAAGCTCTGAGGGAAAATGGGAATCGTGGCTTTTATCGTGTCGATTGATTTTTATTTGTCTCTGGTTCTTGCTCTCCATTTCTAAACGATACTTTTTCTGACGATCATGCTTTTGTTGCTTTAGATCCATTGAATGAATTCATGGATTTTACGTACTTATCTTCCCTTAGATTAGAGGTGAAGAGTTTAAGAGCTCCTTCATGAAGCCCATTGACCTACCTACTAAATATATGTGCTATACAAAATTGAGGATATCTTGTGAAATTGATTGGAACGTTTTTATTGTCAAAAATTTCCTAATGAAACGAGCTCGATTTGCCAAGTGTAGGGGAAAAATCGCTTCAAAACAGAACAAAAAAAAACAATAACCAACCTATACAATGAAATTGTGCTTCGATGTATTTTCCGGTTCCGGGACAAGGATCCTCCTCAAAAAATTTGCTGCTCACATCCAACATGCATGAGCGATGCCCATTACACCTGCGAGATTTACGTGAAAATAAAAATAATCATTCCTGCGCATTTTTATAATATTTTAACGAACTCGATCTGATGTAGGAATGGAGTAAGGTGACCGCGAGGAATGCGAGGTGTATATTCTATGTGTTTATATAAGTGTATATACTTTCGTGCTGGGTTAATAGAGACATTGCGGTTTAACAACGACGACACATAAAGACGTGCCTCAATTGGTGACTGTTTTTTATTTTTATAAGTAATGTAATCAAATGAATATTAAAGTTAGCAAAACTGAAATGTTAAGTTAATAAGCCATGATGATGTAATACAGATTATTTTGATTGTTGATGAGGAGAATAAAATGTTGAAATACACATAGAAGAATTTTTTTGAGTCTAAGATGGAAATGACAATTATGTTAATAATTTATTTTCCAGTGATAAAATGATAAAAATTCAAAGGTTTATAATATATATGTACTCATTAATGTTAGGTAAGATGTGCTTTTTAGAAATGATTGTTTTTTCTCAGCTTAATGAAGTACAGATAAAAAAAGAAGCAGCAGCAGAAATGTGATAAAAATGGACTGAAGGTAGTCGTAGAGATTAGAGTTAAATATGGTGCTGTAATAAGTGGGTGAGATGTACTATAGACTTATCTACTGATAAAACATACGGATATATATATATATATATATATAAAACGAGTCTAATATTGGTTCAAATTAATGATGATGGTTAGTAGTTGGAAAAATACAGGAATGGAGCTATTAGTTAGTAAATAATCTCATGGAGAGTTCAAATACCTAAAGTTCACAAAGTTTGAAATGTTAAAATCACTCTGATCTCTTGATTTTCGCGTTCTTCTAAAGTGAATTGCGAACAAATATCAGGTGAAAGAGTTTGTGCGTTTAGATTTGAAGAGTTTCTGTATGATAGAAGCCTGCAGCCGACAAACATTCACTGATAACTCGAGATGAAGCGAAACTTTGAAATGACCAGAATACCTGGAGCATGTGGAGCTTATATGCATCGTGCGATATATATCTCATCGCCTCACATTAACGAGAACATGAGATCGTAGCAGAAATATGCGACAGCTTGGACGTTGAAACTCCGATGAAACACGAGAAACTGTCATTTGGGAATACTTAATTTTATTGCATTATTAAACTTTACTGCTACGTAGATATAGCATATATATATATATATGCTATATAACAGTATAAAATTTCCCATATTGTCTACTTGTATCTGTCATACAGTTTATGAATCCCTAAAGAGACTGAAAAGATATGTTATATGTTTTACTTTATTTTTTACTGATAGATTTATGCTTCCGGGCACATAATTCTAATATCTTCGCGTTATCCTCTCGTAATCCGCATTATCATCTTGACTCCATAGATAGTAGAACTTTAAGTTGCATTATTCACACGACAACCACTTTATAATCTTACGAATAAAGTATCTAACAATGTAAGTCTACTCAAACACGAAACTGTGTCTAGAATAATCATCACTTTTACAAAATAAATATTGTTTTTTTTTCTATCACTCTTAAAATGATTTAATAATTGTGAGAGAATTTTATCAACAGTGTGCTTTATAATAAATTTATTTTTTCATTGAATAATAAAATAACCTATTGGAGATAGTTTGATGATATAAGATAATTGAATTCAAAACCAATAGATAGCACAATTGATTTACAAATGTCAATTAAACCAAATATAATTAATTAAATATATTGAAACAGTGTTTACACTTTTGTTTTTGTGATGTTATTGGCACGCGTTATCGCAAATTTTGTAAAATACACTAGATAAGTATTATAATGACTCTGTTAATTAGAACAGTGGACTCATTAGCGGATTTCGTTTGTAATTAGCATACCACGATAATCAGGATTTAGCCCCGGGAAATTGGATTAAAGGCGGCCAAGTACACGCAGACAAGCCGACATGACCGGAAATTGGATTTTAATTTTAATGTTACGCGAGGAAAGGTTACCTAGCAATTTCACGTAATGTGTACCATGGTCAAGAGCGTTATTTTAATTGCACGATAACTATAAAAAAGATCCTCTTTTTTTTTTTTGTTCAACCTAATTCCCCATTACAATTACTTTGGTATTGATATATGTCGAAAAATTATCGGCGTATTTAACTTTTTACAATCATCTACCAATTGGTTTAATGGCAACATTTATGATGAGGCTTGCAACTCTCACTCTTCTTTTAGAATAAATTCCTCCATTTTTATTTTCAGTTGGAATTATTTAATTAAAAAAATTTAATTATTCATTTCTAAAAATAACAGAGTTGGTGCATTTATTTTTTTTAATGAATAATTAATTATCCTAGACCGATAACACATAAATATATTTAAAATTGATCAAGACATTTTTAGGGAAAACGAGTATTGATCGACTAATTATTATCCTTCGTAGCACATAGCCGACGTGCCTGCGTGAGGCTTGTTCGTATGCAATTAACACCTACCCGTTGGCATATTATTGGAAAAGCACATCGCTGGAATGTCGCGTCTGAGTAACCTATAACCACTAAATACGCCTCTCGGGCATGTCATGTGTCCCATATTGGTTGGAAAGCACACACACACTGTATCTCCTCTACTCATACTATTTCCGATACACAAATATCATTTACTTATACGATCTGGCACATACCTGTTCATATATCAACATTCAATGTGTGTATATCTATATACAAATACGTGTTGTAGATCGCGTGCATTGACGTGTTGACGTTACTTCAATGCTCAACAAATCGATTGTCTCGTCTCTATCTTGAAATATTCAAAATATTTATAATTGTCACGTAATTGTTATTAATTCAACAGAGAAATGTTTTCTGAATTTTAATTTATTTTTTTTTTTTTACTATCAAAGCATCAGGTAGCAAATTAATTAAAAAGTTTTATATTCTAAGTTAAATTATTTTAACAAAAATTTTATGATCAAAATTGTGGGTTATTATGTAACAAATAATTTTAATAGTTGATAGTTTACTCTAGAACTTTATACATAGAAAATTGTAGGGTAAAATCGATCATCTTGAAGAAGATGAGATTAATAAAGCATGATAAAAATAAAATAGAGTACCAATAAAAAAATAATTGCAGAGTTCAAAGAGTATTTTTTTATAAATTATAAAAAAATTTAACTCTGAAATTAGATCATATTTCTTCAGCTATAGTGTACTCTCAATTATTTTATGGTATACTATTTTTTTAAAACAATTTTTCTCTTGTTTGTGTTTATAAAAAATTAAAAATAGAAAATTCTATGTAAAGCTTTTACAAAGTGACTATTTTTTATTCTTTCAATATCATGTTCACATATGCAGTTGGATAATTTTTAAATATTTTTCTACAACTTTGTTCAAAATGCACACAAATAAATAATATCAATGAATTATAACTATAAGAAAAAAAAAAAAATATTAGCTACTTTTGGAAAATTGTCAAAAAAAAAAAATGTTCTATTCAGTAGCTGAGATTTTCATACAATAGAATCCATGACAACGAGCACGACTAAAATTACTTATGATTATGAATTTATCAAACTGCGTGGGGTATATATCACTCCAACACAGTAATAATAGACTTCGCACGTAATTAACACATGCAAATATACTCGTACATGATATTATACAAGTTGGATGGGATATGGACGTCGCGGTCATGTTCGTTCGTACATGGATGGGTTAGCGGTTACCATCTCACGGTCAATTACTTTGCATTCTCGTTTGTTTGTGCCCGACATATCGCGACGTATCAGTCGACTGGCCAACCGATGCCGTCTCGATAAATGGAAATTCGTAATTATATAGTTTCAGAGAGTCTACTTTCAAGGCTCTTTTATACCCATCACTCTCTATAGTACTCTTCATAAACGGTAGTTGCACAATGCCGGAAATGAAAGAGTGCAAAGAATAGAAATTATGAAATTAAGTAGAAGAATATAAGCACAGTCATATATTTGATTTCAAATCAACCCAACAGTCATTTCAATTTACCAAGAATACTAATTGGGTCATGGTTATCTTAGTCAAATTTTCGATATCAAGCCTAAGTATTATTTCTGAAGGAAACTGTTATTTTCTTTCAAGGCAGAAAGCAAAGCAATTGTAAACGTTATTTCACTCAAATATACCAGACTTATTTAGTAGGTAGTAGGATATTGTAGTCAAGAAATATAGACAATTACAAAAAAGCCCCATTATCAAACCCATAAACTTTTGTTAATAGGCTATACTTTTTTAAGGTATTGAAAAAATAATTTTACATTTTGTATTTTTTAATTAAATACTATTCAATAAAAATAATAATGTGAAAATAGAAAATTATTTTTTCAATATCTCCAGATGTTTATTATACGGAAAGTAAAACATTAGGTTCTATCACGTAGTGGAATCAGTAAAGGAAATGAAAGGATTGTTGATTGGAAAGGATGAGATGATTCTGTACGATATTATTTAGTGAAACAAAAGAGGGAAATGTGACTGAATTCTCAGTTTTAGATTAAAAATGAGAATAGAAATGTGCTGTTGTAATTTATTTCTATCTCATTAAGATCTAAAACCAATGCAGATTTCAATGGTAAAGCAATTGGCCAGTTTGCTCTCCCACGTGAAATCGTTCAAGTCTTTCTTTTTTTTTTTATTTCCCTCTATTCTTTCACGTTTTGATATTGCAAAATATTCATATTGAATTAAAACTAAACGAATAATCGTGAATTTAAAGTTTAAAAGTTGATTATTTACCTGCTATGAAGAACTCTGAAGGACTTTTGAGACATGCAATTGACGCTCCAATCTGTGTTGCCATGTTCATTACATATTGTAATAGAAAACCTTCCATAATTTGCTCTTATCAGATGTATTAATTCGCCCTCGCCGCATTCTAACCTTAAAGTTTTTCCTTCACATTCATAAGCTGTTTCATAACGTTCTGCAAGCAAATAACATTCATTTATTAAATCTCTTTCACATTTTGTATATTTATTTGAAACATTGCAATCAATGGTACTCCAACAAAAGAAGCTTGACAGTGTATATTAAACATTCCAACACTTGAATTAAAACAAGATATAAAATAATCATTAGTTAATAATAATAATAATAATAATGATTATAAAATCACAATAAAATAAGTATGTGGATTATTCAGATAATCTTTTGCTCAGTTTCAATAATTTTCATGAATTGATTTGAACAGGACAGATTGATAATCAACATTATCAATAAATGTATGGCAAATGATTAATCTTGAATGAAAAATATCAAGAGTTAAAGTCAATATGATCACATTTAGTGATTGTGATAAAAGACAATTATGGGAAAATCGACATTTGGCGAATTGTTACTAATGTGGCAATAATAGTAGATATTTGAAGGGGTAGAGGAGTGGATAAAATCGGGTTATACATCGAGGCGTATACCACCCGTTGTCCCAGCGGCTAACATGAAAGGATACTTTTAGCTGCGGGATGTCGTCAGCTCGATGTTGTTTCGTTGAGACACGAAACCATACGTTCTTTTGCTGTTAAGACACACAGCGGGACTATTGTTGATCAAGAACAATATTTCACTCTTCCTGTGCGAGAAGGTACTGACCCACAATACCATTCATACCCTAGCTATATGTGTATATATATATATTTGTGGATACATATTGTGTATCAACTTTAGTCTGACGCTATTTTCATTTAGTTTAATTAATCATCTAGCTATTCAAGCAGTGATTTGTCTGCAAGTTATTTCTATTTTGATAAATATAATCAGTCCCTAAAAACTGCAGTCAGAAACAGACGTGACGGATGATATTAATGGTCAAAACCAAGCGGAAAGTTATAAGTGAGGATAAGGATATAAGCAGGGATATATTCAGCACATTTCTACCTTGGATTTGTGTCAGATACGGATATCGTTTATCGGCTTACCAATGATCCTACCTGTCGAGATATTACGTTTATGCTGGAGCTAGTGAAAAAATAAGCAAAAATTCCTCAGCAAAGAATATATGTCAAGACTATGGCTCTCTCTTCTCCATTATTTTTTATTTTTTTTCTTTACCTTCATGTACTTTTATCTTTAATATTCCCACGTAATATTATCCATAAATATCAAATATTTCTTCTCTAAGTGAATCCACACGAAAGATGTTATAAATTATGTCAATACAATCTAATTGATAAACAAAAATGAAACAATGAAAAAAATCTTCATCTAAAGTTGTTTCTTTTTTTTTACTCCAAAAGTGTTAATATAAAAAATGGCCCAATTCAAATGGGTATAATACAAGTGGTACAATAAGAACGAAGGAATAACAAGAGTTGAGGATGTAGTATAAAAGTGTGTATATAGAGAGGTGTGTAGTGGTCAGAATTCTTGAGAAAAGTTGAGTAAGAAAAAGAGAGAAAATCTGAAACTACTAGTCAATATTTCATCGAGGAAACAAACGAGATAACAGCAAGTACGCCCACCCCTACGCTACAACCACTCATTCTCTTCTCTCTTTTTCTTATATAACACTAGTGTAGTAGTGTTAGCTACTTTTAGCTCTTCTGGCACTTCTACTCCCGCGGGCTTTTGCCTCAGCTTTTCGCCGCTTATTATTTCTAGTCTATTTGTACTCATTCGCATCCACCTCTTGAACGTTAGGATGTTGAAGATCTGCCTGCAACAGAGCTCTGGCTGTGTAAAATATTATATAGGGTTCCAGGATAGAGGGTGATCGCACGCGCCTGTACTACATTTAATGTTGACCTGCAAGAAATATCTCGTGTACTCGGCAAGTAATAACATTGATGTTCTTCTTTAAAGAGCTTAAATGCATTGTTGATAGTCTCAAGAGCAAATTGTGAATATTTCCAACTGATTTAAAGCTTTTTAATAATATTTCAACTGAGATAATTTTATCATTCAATCATCTTTGAATCAATTAAAAAATAAATTCATAATAATACAGGATAGATTGGAGTAATAAATATTTCAATATTAAAATATACAAATAAAAATAAAGTAATTTATAATCAATGTTTATTGCTCCTTAAAGCGTACCTGTTTATTTACATAACAGATACTATGTTACAGGTAACGAGTCTATTATATTGAATAAAATATTTCTAAAAAATAAGAATAGAAGCGAGAGATTATTATGACATTTTTTTTTTCGATCGCTGCTGAGATTAATTTAAACGTGATATTTGATAAGCTTGAAGCACAATAGGTGCAGCGATATAATATTTCTATTGGATCTGATTTAATGCCAATATAATTATCCGTATGAGAAAGGAAATAAAATATTGAATTATCTTTCGAAGCATTATGATTTGCCATGAATAATTGAATGCCATTATTTTTTATTTACGACGTTAAATTACAGTTGAATATCATAAGCCTATATATTACTTGAAATAACTTTTTGATATGTTCCAAGACAATGCATTAGCGAGGAAAAATGAGGATACACTTTGGAATGTAAGTTTGGCATATCAGAAAAAAATATTGTTATATTCTTTAAAAGGTTTGCTTGACCGTTTATTCCTGACCGTTATATTACCAACTTTAAGATATTATTTGTGGCTTTTACCAACACTCAACGATTACTTGTTTCTTATTCTCTTTCACTTTATATATTCAGGATCTTTCTTTGAGTTTATCAAGGCGAGAGTGGTCTCAGTTTGGACAGGACATCCGTAACTAATGACCCTGATAGCCGGGGCTCTTTCTGAACGTCTTAGATTGTCTCTTTTTACTTTCATTTTTTTTCTTTTTCATTTTTTCTACCTTCTTTCGTTCTTCTTTTGTTACTTTTTGTCTCATTCTCTCCACACTTTCCGCACTGGCGCACCTCATTTCAAACACTCACGAACCTTCAACGAACCTCAACGTTACTTAATTAATTTCTCCTTCGATGCCATGCCAATCACGTGAATCTGTTTTAATTACTGATTTTCAACTAATGATAAAAAATTTTACTAAGTTTATTTGCAATTTATTTTTATTTTATTTCTTTATAACTATCTTAATTGTATTGATTAATTGAATTATTTTTATCCTTAAATTATTTTGGAAATTTTTACTTGAAAAAAAAACATATTCACGATAGTATAATTTGCTAAAATACCAAGAATTACTTGAATGCATTCTCATCTCGTGCCATTTGTTCATTTTTAAACTATTACAAGCTTACGACATGCAGGATTATTTAGACTGCATGACTGCAGAAGTCTATTAATAGAATTGGAAAACATTGATTGGTAAATTATTCAAGCTTGAGGAAAAATATATGTCTCACGTTTGTAATTGAAACGTAATAATTGAACAGTAGTGTAAAACAAATTGAAAATCAATGATCTTGTTATACGTGGTAAGAATTAAAATATCAATTTAATGAAATGGCAAATAACAATTTAATTGTCAACAGATAACTCTTTTCAGGTTTTCATAATTAAATCAACTGAGCAATCAACTGAATATTTGAATGCTGGAAATATTATTAATTCAACTGAATGCATCTATGCACTAAAGTTGTTTGTGAAAACTAGGAGGAGAAAAAAAAACAACAACATAAAACATTTCATGGGGTTTTGGTTTAGGAAATCCCTTAACTCTCGTTTTTCCATCGATCCATCAGAGACGCATTGATTATACGAATGCGTCAAGCATGCCGCCCTGTGATTTGCATACGCCGATTAGGTGGCCAGTGTGGCATTAGTCCGTAGAGAGCTGAAGAGGCGGACGTTCAGACGCGGTGAGCCGATAACGTGCTCTTGGTCTCTCTGTGTCTGTGGAATGCCGCGCGTGAGACGCCTGGATTCTCATTTCCTCGGTAGGTTCTCGGTTATATACTCGATAGCTGCAGGCGTATGGCCACCTAATTGGCAATGAGCCGTGTGTGTTTCCCTTCGACCCTCTCTTTGATGCTTTGAATCTTCTTCAACCACACACATATACACTCTAGACGTTTATGCATCAAACGCGATTCATCTGAATTTTTTTTGGATCTCTCAACTGAATCATCCAGTGATCTTACAATAATACTTTAATACATGTGTACATATACAACCACACGTTGAATTATTTCGATTGCTTTGATGCTGATAAAAAGAGTGTTTTGATGTAAAATAGACTGTTTGGATAAAAATATTTAATTGCTAATTAATTGTTGAGGTCTTGATGAGTTATTTTTGATAAAGTGGAGATAGAAATAGAATGTAAATAGATTGAATGATTAATTATTTTTTTTTGTTTTTTTCATAGCACTATTGATTATTTATGATAACTGCGTGCAAATTTTTTGTTTTCATTAATAAAAGTTTGTTGTACTTAAACTTTTTAAACATTTAATCAAGATTATGACGCTTGAGTGAAGACATATCACGAGATCTATCTTCAGAACAGCTTTGAATTGCAATCATGCTAGGAAGCGGCATAAAGCTATGATGTGGTGTCCACGGGAAGACGAGGAAATGACCGAGAAATTCCTCGTCCAAGACGCGTGACGAGTGGCCGAAGAAGATCGCTCCTTTGATCGTCAGAGGCCTGCATTATAAGAATGCTGTTTCTATGGTATTCACCATTAAAAAGAACAATGTCTTTATTAATAAGATTCTTTCCTTTGATAATTATATATAATAATTATTAAAAGAAATTCTGTTGGATTATACCGTTATTTACTTTTACATTGTTATAAGAGTGAGCATCTTTTATTCAATTTAAACTTCCTTTCAACCCTATTTTTTTTAAATGGAAATTTTCTTTCTCATCATATTTAATAGGCAATCTTTCAATCCCTCATTTTTTTTCCTTCGACTTATGAAAATGGATTTTCTTTTCAATAATAATTACCACCCTTTTTTGTAACCATTCCATTGACATTAGTTGTAATTAATGAAATTATAGATTCAACTATTTTCTACACCAAAGACTATTTCAATGAATTAT